TTAAGGAGTAAATGTGAAAGTCGATACTTTAAGAACTTTAGGATCAATATGGGTGAAAGTCATTGACTTTTTTAAACCTCTGATTTAAGGAAAAATATCTTAAGACGTCTGTTGAAATAAATGGATAAATTTGACTACATTAAAATGAACAAATTTCTCATCATTAAAAGACACCACAAAGAATTAAAAATAAAAGCTAAAAAGTTGAACAATTGTGCTTTACAGATAGCCAGCAAAAAATATCTAGAATAGATAAAGAACTGTCAATAACAGAAAGACAGCCCAGTATAATGTGAAGCAAAAGACCAGAAAGGAGCGTCACAGAAGGAGAAATGAGAGTGGCTCATAAAAGTATGAGAAGTTCTTTAACTCATTAGGAACCAGGAATTGATCAGTTAAAACCACAGCCATTTTATAGGCACCACATCTTAGGTTTCGAGAAGGTGACTCCAGAGGTGCAGGACTGCTGTGGTCTCACTGGGGTCACTGTGCCTTCAGTTAGGCGCTTGGGAGGACACTGTGGTGTCACCCCTACTTTATTCTCCGAGGAACGTGTGCATGTAACAGCAGTGTACACTAGGGGGTGGGGTCAGCGTGTCCCGAGCATTGTTTGTTTGTTTGTTTGTTTGTTTGTTTGTTTCTGTCGGGGTAACACTGGGTAATAAAATTCATGACTACTTTTAAGTCACTCTGTTATTCTCTTACAGTTGTCCCAGTTTTCCCCTTTGCCCTCCTCTGCCCATCCCACAACTCGCCTCCCACAGTCAGTCCCCACACCGCTGTCCACGTCCATGGGTCATTCATACCTGTTCTTTGTCTAGTCCCTTCCCCTTCTTTCCACCATTATCTTCTCCTTCCTCCTCCCCTCTGGTCACTGCCAGTCTGTTCCAAGTTTCCATGCCTGTGGTTCTATTTTGGTCATTAGTTTATTTTGTTCATTAGTGCCCTCTTATAGGTAAGATCATACGGCATTTGTCTGTTATAGCCTGGCTTATTTCACTTAGCATAATGTTTTCCAGCTCTATCCATGTTGTTGCAAAAGGTAGGCGCTCCTTGTGATGGGGAGGGTGGGGCACCTGCGTCTCCCCTGGGAGGAGTCTTCTGGTAAAATCGTGGCTGTGTTCCCCTCCCCCTGCACCGCCAGCCTGGTCTGCCCCAGCTTATTTCCAGTGATGTGCAGTTTCTGGTGAACTGCCTGTGCCTTGCAAGAGGGGGCCAGTCTGTCTAAGAGGGTCAGCCCTTTCCCGCTTGGTGCTGGTGGCAGCTTTGTGTCCCTGATTCCCCCTTGCCACCCCAGTTTCTAGTCTCCGTGCTTCACTGGCCACAGCAGAATGGGGCCCTGGGAGCCAGTGTATTTTATCTCCCTGAGAGAAGTTCCAAACTGCAGGCCTTTAGGTGTTTCTCGTTTTGTGTTTCTCTTGTGGACATGCATCTGCAGGGGCTCTCGAGCCTGCCACGCCTCTTTTGCAGACCTGTGAGGTTGGTGGTACTCGAGATCCTGAAGGAGGTAGGGGCTGGCTGCCTCCTTCCCTCCCCAGAGGTTTGATCTCTGCCAGGGAAGTCAGCTCCGTCTGGCTGTAAAAAACCTGAGGTGCTCAACTCCCACCCCTCCAGTTCCCAACCTGCTGCCATTGCAGCAGACACAGACACAGTCCAGAGCTGCCCACTCAGAGCAGCCTCCGCCCTGCCATCTGCACTGGGCTGGGGCCGAGGAAGCCCCTCACCGTGCACCTTTCTGGTCTCTCCGCCCAGCTGCATTCAGCGGGAGCAAACCACACCCTCGATCCTTTCCTCTTGCTGGTGGGGCAGCTGCCCGCAGGGTCCCTGCCCAACATGCCTCAGCTCCCCCTTTAAAGAGTCTCTGTGGGCACCCCCACTGCAGTACCGAGTCCCTGTCCAGCTTCCCTCACATGCCACCTCTCCAAAAAGACGAGAGTCACTCACAGTAGCGGCCGGCTGCAGCCTGCCCCTGGCGCCCGACCCAGGTGCCTTGTAGACCCGATCCCTGCCGGGCACTCTGCCGCTTGGCGTTCGCCACTGCAGCCACGGCTGTGCTTGTGTAGCCTGGATCTCCCCAGCTCTGTGTATGTTGAAGTCACTGCTGCCTGGGTCTGGGGGTCCCCTGCCCTGAGAGGGGAGGGGCCCCCGAGCTTCAATCTCTGACCAGGCTTCAATCTCATGCACATGCTGGGAAGTGTCTTCTGTACTCCTTGGCTTCCAAACTTCATGTCAGCTAAGATGCTGTTGAATGTTCCATTTATTTTTTTTGGAAGATCAGCCAAGGATCCAAGTTGGGGGCAAGAGCAAGTGCACTCAACTTCCATCTTCCTGGCCACCGTCTCCTCCCTCCCCAGCACTGTTTTTAATGGCAAACTGGAAACCCTGCCCACTGACAGGAGAACGGCCACATGAACTGCGTGTCTGTCCAGTGGGTGCCGTGCAGCTGTGAGCACGAGCGAGTGGCAGCCACGCACGTCATCGTCTGGAGGAGCCTACCAGTTGGTGGCCGACTCCACAACAAGCAGTCTAACCAGAGCGCGCGGAGGACGTGAGAACACCTCTCTTCAAAGAGGACACGGAAAGGGCGCAGCATTCCGCATCCTCAGAGAAACGCAAACCGAACCACAGTGGTGCCACCGCACGCCTGTCAGAACGGCCGGCGTCGGCAGATCAGCAAACAGCCAGCGCTTTCGAGGACGTGCAGGAAGGGAGCCCGTGGATGGGAGCGCGGACGGTGCAGCCACTGGGAGAAACAGCATGGAGGTTCCTCAGGGAATTAAAAATCAAAATACCACATGATCCAGCAATTCCACTTCTGCGTATTGATCCAAAGAAAACAAACCGATTTGAAAAGAGACACGCGTCCCCGTGTTCACTGCAGTGTCATTTGCAATAACTAAGACGTGGAAGCAACCTAGGTGTCTGTCGGTAGATGAGGAGTAGTGTGTGTGCAGGTGGAGTTAACCAAAACGAATTAGCCATCCAAACCAAACCAAAACAGACGCACAGAAACAGATCAAAGGGGTGGTCGCCTGAGGGGAGGGGGTGGGTGAAAAGGTGAAGGGGACACAGGCAGTAATGCTGGGAGGTGGTTACTAGAATTAGTGGGGTGATCACATTGTAAGGTGTAAGGGTCTCGTCCCTCCTTTGTACACCCGAAACGTAACTAATATCATATACCAACTATACTTAAGTAAAATAAATAAAACGTTGAAAAAAGTCACTGCAAAATACAGACAGTATGATTCCAATCATATGAAGTCCATAAACATAAAAATTAAACTATTGCTTAGGGATGAATAGGTAAAAGGTAACACTATAAAGGAAAGAAAAAACGCATAACGTAGGTCAGGATGGTGGCTGATTCCGGGTTGTGAGGGGAGGGAGGCGGACTTCAGGGACACTAGGCCTTCTGTGTCTGAAGCCGGTCGAAGGGGTCCGTGGGCGTGTGAGTTCTTATCCTCAAACAACACTCTGTGTGTATGTTCTGGAGTAAAAACTGCAAATAAGGAAGAATACCTGCCATTTAATTTTTTTCAACCTTATTTTTTCATTTCAATGAATACACAATTGCTTGTTTTATTTTTTGTTTTGACCCAACTTGGAGATTGGGGCACTGTAGTTTTCTTTTAGATAATTGAAAAGATCAATGTGATTTCTGAAATAGAGCTAGTTAGCTGTGAAAAGCCCGGCTGACCCAGCGTTCGTGGGCGAGTATTTTGGGGAAAGGTGGCACCAGCGTGCGCTTTGGAGGCAAGTGGAGGAGAGCCAGGGAGAGCGTAGGGGCCCAGGTTCACGGATGGCAGCGGTTTACCGTTGCTGCCTCTGCACCACCTGTGACTGTCACCATGAGGCCGTGTCATTTCTGAGCCCTTCCTCCTGGGTGCAAGCCCGCCACCCCACCTGTGGGGCAGGAGCCCAGGGCGCCCAAAGCAGTAGAAGCAGGATTTTAACTCAGTGTTCCGTGACTGTGGGTCCCCAGGAAACTCTGCAGAGGCACTAAAGCAGGTTCAGCCTGAAGACACAGAGGCCACGGCTGGTCTCTGCTATCTGAGAACTAAGTGGCAGGTGGCTTGTGCTGTGCTGTGGGCCAGAACCTCAGTGAGACAGACGTGGTGCTTAGCATGGGAGAGGTCTCTGCAGCTGGCACTTGGTCACTGCTGCACCCAGGGTGTGTGGTAGGGACATCGGAGTGTTCGCTGGGGGATGAACGCGGTGTGCGTCCCTGTCCCTGTAGCTGCCCGGACAGACTGCGTGCGTGTCTCGAGTGTGTGTGTGTGTGTCTGTGTCTTGTGTGTGTCGAGTGTGTGTGCGTGTCTGCTCCACCACAGAAGAAGCACTGGGCTGCCTATTAAGGGTTGCACTGAGTTCTCCGAGGCCTTTTCAGCAAACAAAACCCTGCCTCCCTGACCCTGGTCGGAATTCTGAGTCCAAAAGTGAGTGTATTCCAACCAAATAACTTTGGGAAGTCTATCCCCAAATCCTTCAAAGACCCAGACAGAGTTTCTTGGAGGGCAGGACTCTTCTTTCTTCCGGCCCTGTTGCTAGCATTTATGTATATGACATCAGGTGGGCCGAGGAAGGGAGAGTGGCGTGGAGGGAGCGGACAAGCCAGGGGCTGTTGCAGAGACCATGGGTGTTCGGGCGGCATGGCAGCGCGCTCTTGTTTGTGATGTCGTGACTGTCCGATGTCCTGCGGGCTTTGCGTGCTGAACACAGATCTGGTTTGACTTTTAAAATGGAAGTTCTGGTTTTCATTATTGTGTAACCGAAGAGTGACCTCTTTGCACGTACTGCTAGGTTTTGCCACCACTGGGTTTTTCTCTACACCGTTAATTCTTGTGAATGTGACCAAGATGTGTGCTGTGACCTGATAAATAACTGCGATAAATGCTCTGTACTGTGCACACATTCAACAGACCCACGAGGTTGTGGCCTGAAGGAGGGGCCAATAATTTTGGTTGGATTTTCGTGCTAATAACTCAGTCATGTCCCCACAGACCAGAGTGAGTTCGGAGCAAGAACATTTCCTCATTGTACCTTTTGGGCTGCTCTTCAGTGAAGTGACTGCGTCCAGCTTGGTAAGAATGTCGCTTCCCTTATGGGCGTCATGAATGTGTGGGTCCAGCTACTTAACTAAACCCCTTCTAATCCTGTTAGATGCTTAACTCCCAAGGAAGAGGAGAAACTGTGTTTTGTGTGATTAACTCAAAGAAAACCTGTGCAATTAGTTATACTTTAAATGTTGATTTAAGTAATTTCTACTTACGGTAATTTGAAGTCCTCTTGACACTGAAAATTTTTGTTTCCTTCGTTTAAGGTGAAAATAAACCTACAAGGAGATATCGTAGACCGTGGGAGCACTAATCTAGGAGTAAATCAAGCTGGCTTCACATTACACTCTGCGATTTATGCTGCGCGCCCGGACGTGAGGTGTGTGGTCCACATTCACACACCGGCAGGGGCCGCGGTGAGTGTTGCACTGCAGCTGGAAAGCTGTTCAGTGAGAGGCCCTGAGCGTTTCCCTGAAGTGCCTCTCATAGCGATGGGTCTGTAAACCTAACTTCGTGGGGTTAAAAAATTCTGTCCTTACTAAGTTTGACTTTCTTAAAAGACTCTTTTTCGAAGGGGTCTCTATACTAAACAATGAGATTCTCACAGTGGCCATTGCACTCACAGATGAAACGATCGTGGTGTGTTGGTGGTGGAGGTCGGGTTTCAGAGTGTCTGACACTGTTGGGAAGAGCAGCACAGCGGCAGTAAACGGGAGAGCACTCTTTGGAGAAGTGGGACAGGAGGGGTGGGGGGTAAGGCTCCTGCAAGTGCAGGACGGCCCAGTGGGACTCGGGACTGCAGTGCGCTAACGGCTGTGCAGGAGCAGCGGCTGTGCAGGAGGAGCGGCAGAACGCTGGCCAGCTGCTGATGGGGTGATGGGGGTGTCGGAGGGGGGCCGCTGGGGCAGGAGGGCTTGGTCCTGCAAGCTGTCGGGAGAGCTGGCCTCCACGCCTGTGGGCCCCGCCCATCACCAGCCTGGCCCCCTGACCTCTCTGTGGGGAATGCACAGTCCGTGGCTGGTACAGTCACATGAAAGCAAAACACTCTACAACTGTCTAGAATTGGCTTTTTCTTGCCCATTTTATACATTAGTGACTTCCTGTCCTTATTTGTGCGAAAGAGGACTTTATTGATTTGGTAATGCCAAATTTTAATCCGTCATGATGTGTTAATGTCATGCATGTGATTTGTGTGGATGAGTGATGGAGCTTTTGTATCTTGAGGTATGGTTCTCAGTGTCAGCATCAGTTGAACATGTCATCCTCTGAAGGGCGTAATTCTTTCTTAAAACCCATGCATTTTAAAGAACTTTTAAAGGTATCCTTGACAATGTGGTTACAAGTAAGTGCCATGCAATTTATTTTAAAAGTTATCAAGACCTTACTTACTTGTAAGGTAACTTACAAGTTACCTTTTCCTTACTGTGTAAAGAAATTTCTGGACTTCCGTCAAGATGGAGGCATAGGTGGAAGCACTGTGCCTTCTCACACAACCAAGTTTAAAAACAACAAAGTTTTAGCAACAAAAACGCAGCCAAACCACAGAAAATTAAACTACATGGAAGCCTGACAATAATGAACCCTTCAGGCAAACCGGTAAGAGGTGCAGAGCCAGCAGCAGAGCGGGGTCGGGCAGGAAAGATCCACCAGACCAACCTGGGCGCACAACCCAGGTGCGCCAGCAGCCATGGGCGGATCCCAGGTGTGGAGAAGCAGGCAGACCCACTGAGGGCGCAAGGCGTTGGACCCACTGAGGGCGCAAGGCGTTGGACCCACTGAGGGCGCAAGGTGGCGGACCCACTGAGGGCAGACCGTGGTCACACATTCACGTGCAGATAAACCGGTGAAGGAGCTAGCAGTGGTGAGACAGACCGCCCAGGCCACAGCGGCGGGAAGTGGCAGAGGGAACCACCATTGTCCCTCTCTGACCCCGCCCCCACGTACAGTGTCACAAACCAGCGACCTAGGTGGCCCCTCTCTGACCATGCCCCCACAGACAGCATCACAAACCAGTGACTGGGTCGCCCCGCCCTGGTGAACAACTAAGGCTCCGCTCCTCATACCTAATAGGCACGAATAGATCAAAACATGGCTCAAGAACAACTCAGAGCCCCAGAGCCAATAAATCTAAGCGATGAAGAAATAGCCAAACTTTCAGATGCACAGTTCAAAACACTGGTGATCAGGATGCTCACAGAACTGGTTGATTTTAGTTACAAATTAGAGGAACATATGGAAGCTAAGCTAATTGAAATGAAGAGAAATACGCAGGAAACCAATAGTAATGGAAAGGAAACTGGGACTCATATCAAAGGAGTGGACCAGAAGGAGGGAAAAAATGACCAAACAGAAAAGGATGAAGAAACAAGAATTTTAAAAAAATGAGGAGAGGCTTAGGAACCTTCAGGACATCTTTAAATGTTCCAACATCCAAATTATAGGAGTACCAAAAGGGGAAGAGGAACAGCCACGAGTGGAAACCTTATTTGGACAAATAATAAAGGAGAATTTCCCCAATCTGGCAAAGGAAATAGACTTCCAGGAAATGCAGGAAGCTCAGAGAGTCCCAAAGAAGTTGGACCCAAGAAGGAACACACCAAGGCACATCATCATTACATTAGCCAAGATAAAAATGAAGGAGAGAATCCTAGAAGCAGCAGGAGCTAAGGGGACAGTCACCTACAAAGGAGTTCCCATCAGACTGTCAGCGGATTTCTCAAAAGAGACCTTAACAGGCAAGAAGGGGCTGGAAAGAAGTATTCCAAGTCATGAAATCCAAAGACCTACATCCAAAATTGATCTATCCAGCAAAGCTTTCATTTAGAATGGAAGGACAGATAAGGTGCTTCTCAGATAAGACCAAATTCAAGGAGTTCATCATCACCAAGCCCTTATTATATGAAATGTTAAAGGGACTTACCTAAGAAAAAGAAGATAAAAAAGATGAACAGTGAAAGGACAGCAAACTCAACAGTTATTAAGAACCACACCTAAAACAAAAGCAAACTAAAAGGACAGCTAGATCAGGAGTGAACCATAGAAATGAAGATCACGTGGAGGGTTAGCAACAGGGGAGTAGGAGGAGGAGAAGGGGGGAGAAGGTACAGAAAATAAGTAGCAGAGACAGTAGGTAGAAAATAGATGGGGGAAGGGCAAGAATAGTAGGAGAAATATAGAATCTAAAGAACTTGAGACATGTCGTCATAAACTACAGGGGGGAATGGTGGGGGAGGGGTGTGCAGGGTGGAGGGGGATGAAGGGGGGAAATAGAACAAATGTAATGGCATAATTAATAAAATATATTTTAAAAAAGAAAAGAAATTTCTTCTTACAAGTAAGGGAATCTTAAAGCTCATACTCTGAGAGGAGTCCCACGTGGCATTGCCGTGTTTGTGGTGTCGTCTTTTTAGATTGAGTGTTCTGTGTGGAGTGGTGACACCTGAGATATTATTTGACTCTTTGGAGCCTGTTAAACTAGATAGAGGGCCTTCATAGGTAGCAACTATAAAGTCAGTTTGGGAAGTTTAAGGAAACCTAGAGGCCATGTGGAGTTAGAATTTTTTCACTTAAGTAAATCTAGAGAAATTATGCAGTATAATTATCCTCAACTTTTACGAATTTGTTTCTATCTGATTTTCAGCTGTGTTGGTCCCACCTACAACCTAAGGTAAAAGGTACATGCCCCTTACGCACCTCACCCCCTTCGCAGTGCTGTGGCATGTTCAGAGGAAGCATGACCTGGGGCTCACGCTGCCCCTCAGTCTGAGCTCACAACTCGCTTATTGTTAGGGTGGGAGACACCCCGAAAGAGGTGGACTTTCTCCTGGGGCCACGTGGTTAGTGAAAGCTCGAACTCTGGACTGCGCGTTGGTGGCAAGCCACAGAAACAACGTTTCTCTGACGCTCGTGGGTCCGTTCATCTCTGGGAAGAGGACAGAATGAACTCTGCCCCTCTCTCAGGGCAGCACCGCCTCCCGCCCCGCCCTCACTCAGTGCGACCACTCCCTCTCCAGGTCTCGGCGATGAAATGCGGCCTTCTGCCCATCTCCCCAGAGGCCCTGGCCCTCGGAGAAGTGGGTTATCATGACTACCACGGGATTTTGGTGGATGAAGAGGAAAAGGTTTTAATTCAGAAAAACTTGGGGCCTAAGAGCAAGGTCGGTGGGCGTCTGACGTGGGATTTCAGTGGTGGAGGGGGGACGGGGGTGGGAAGGTGTCCCTGAGCCTCTGCAGCTGCCTGGAGCTGCCTTCCCTGCTTCCCTCCCAGGTTCTCATTCTCCGGAACCACGGGCTGGTGTCGGTCGGAGAGAGCGTGGAGGAGGCCTTCTTCTACATCCACAACCTCGTGGTCGCGTGCGAGATCCAGGTGGGTGCGCCGCCCCTCCTGCCGGCTCTCTCCGGGTCGGCGGGGCGCCCGCAGACTGCAGATCCTGGTTTTTCGGGGATGAGTCTGGGCAGCTTCTTGGCCAGGTTCGAGCTCAGGGGTTTGGAAATCGATTGGGGCAGATGCCGTCTCACTGATTTGGGCTGGAAATGGTAGTTTGTTATTCAAATACAGGAGTCACTACCGTTTATGGAGTCCTAGTGTGGGCTGGCCCAGTGCCAGGAGCTTCGCCGGTGTTGTCACTGGTACTCTGCCTGACCTTTGTGGCACTCCTTTTGCAGAGCAGGTGTGGCGAGCTGTAACACTCGCCTGCAGCCTCAGGGCTGTCGGTGCCACTTAGACACCAGATGTGCACAGCCCCGCCTGACCTCCTCACCGTTCCCCAGCTCGTGTCTGTGTGGCAATGCCGTTCCCGCTCTGCCTCATGTGCTCTGAAAGGGGCTTTATTTTTCATTCCTCCATCAAGTAGGCGTACCTAATAGTTTTGTCAGGCTGAAGGAAAACTGAAAATAACCTTGTCATTAGTCCCTCACTGTGCACCCTGCTTTCTCATTCCCAACTCGGTGATTTGGTCGCCTTTGAAATCTGCATCCTGTTTACGTGACTTCTCATACTTGTTCTTCCCCTGCCCTCAGTCAGGAGCTCAGATGGTAACGTTTGCTTGTTTTGAAAAGGTTCGAACTCTGGCCAGTGCAGGAGGGCCAGACAACCTCGTGTTGCTGGATCCTGGGAAGTACAAAGCCAAGTCCCGCTCCCCGGAGTCCCCAGCAGGGGAAAGCACCGGGGCCCCTCCTCAGTGGCTGGTCGGTGAGCAGGAGTTTGAAGCCCTCATGCGGATGCTTGATAACCTGGTAAGAATGTTGCTGCCCCTTGGAGACAGGGGTCGTGCGATCGCGCAGATGTCGGTGGTGGGAGCGCAGGCGAGGGCACGTTCCGGGGTTGCTGTCCTCCTCGCAGTGTCTGAGCACTTGCACCGGGGGCATCACTGCCAGCACCGGGTGGCCAACTTCTCCACTGCGCTGAAGGACGGCGTGGGGACGTCTCGCCTTTAAGACCACCTTGTGTGGACTTTGTGGGGACCAAAGCCCAGGCGCCGGCTGCACTCCCGCAGCTGCCAGGGACCAGCGCCTGGGGCCGAGAGTGGGCGGCAGCCATGGCCCCCCCTTAGGCTCTGCAGGGGCCTTTGTACAGCAGTCAGTGAGTGGTTCTTAGTGTTTCGTTAACAGGAAGTTGTAGCTGTCTGGGGGCTGGTTACTGGGTTCCACGGGCATCTGCTGCCCATTCACCGTGTGGGAGACCCTTGTCCCGACCGCAGGGACCTGGGGCCCAGCCCGGTGCAAACACTGTGGTGGTGAAGCTTGGGCGTCCTTGGGTGCATGTGCCCGTGGCAGGGCGTGGTCTGTGTTGGGGTTTTAGTGAGGGCCTTCCTTCATCCTTTTGCACAGGCCAGGGAGAAAGCTGGGGGAAGAAGATGGCACTTGGAAAAGACCTCAGAGGAGAGGTAGACACTCGACAGCCCAAGCTGGTGAAGGAGGGCATGTGGCAGAGGCAGCACTGACGACAGCTGGGGGTTCGGAGGGATGGGAGTATGCCTTTTGGGTCTGTCTCTGAGTTTGCTGGGTCTTCAGTTACTCCAGACGGGGCCCGAATGGTCGGAGCCACCACGTTGTGAGACAGGTGTCTCTGTGCTGGGCCCTCTCATGCTGTGTTGTCACCTTGGAGAGGGGCTTCGGGAGAGTCCTTCCTCCTGGACTCTCCAGAAAGCAGGCCCTGGAACCTGCCGTGGCGGTGTGGGACAGGGGGGCCCCCGGAAGGGCTGGCGTCCTAGTGCACTGCGTGCCTGGTCTGGGTGCTCCAGAGGGCGGCAGCCAGTGGGACACCCCTCGTCTCACGGAAGACAGGTCCGACTTTCAGAATGGGTCACAGATGGAACAGCAGTTGCAGGAGGTTTAATTTTCCTGAGATTTTGATACAAAAAGAATTCATGGATCTGATTCATGGTGTCCTCAGGGGCTAAGTGTCCACAAGAGTAGATTCAGTCAGTGAAGGAGCAGTGAGCAGAATCTCCCATAACTCTGGAATTTATTTGCTTAGTGAAGATGGTTTACATTAACTGACCATCCACTTGTGAGCCCATAGCCACAAACAGGACACAGTTCTTGCCCTGGTCAAGGAAATGGACACATGGCAGGTGCAACCTAGCCCCTGTGTTCTGTGCCCTGACGGGTGGAGCATGGGCAGAGCTGGGGGCAGAGACAGTGTGGGCAGGGTGGGCCAGGGAGCAGGGAGAGTGGCAGGGCTCCCCCAAAACATGGAAGGAGCGGTTGGAGGCAGGTGGCAGACAGGGCAGTGTAGCCTCGGGAAAGACACACCTGGAGAGGTTCGAGAGGGACAGCAGTCGCCCAGGTGTAGACACCTTTGGGCCTGGCAAAGTGACCAGTGCTGGGGTGGCCCAGTCTTTATAGCCCTTCTTCTCTCCTCTTGGCAAAAAAGAGTGTGGTGTTTCACTTGCTTGTACCTGAAGTCAGGTGGGAGCAGGAGAGAGGACAGGAATCAAGGCAGGCAGCCACCTCGCCTCATTGCACCCTGTGTGTTGGGTGAATGGAGAAGGGCTCAGAATTGGGCGGGGACTCGGGTTCGTTTGGGGAGGAAGACAGAGGGTGAAGACTGGTCTTGGAGACCTTCGTTACAGCCAGGAGCCTCCAGTCAGTGTCCTTCACAGACTGTGTTGCCACTTTTAGTGTTAGGAGGCCATGTGGTTTATAGAGGGAAACCGGACAGTGACTGCTGACCACAGCCCCCGACTCAGTGTTCTGGTTGTAAGTTTGCTTGTCACCGAGAAGGACAGAGAACAGCTGCAGAACCTCCCACTGTGGGGGGGAGTCCATCTCAGTGTACGCAGAGGAAATGCCAAATCCTGTCCCACAAAGTCGAGATGTGAGTCTGATTTCTCAAGGCAGGAATGAACCCCTATTTTAACTATAAGCTACAGAGTAGGTCTGAGGTCTGCATATTGCCTCTAATTTTGGTTTGACAGCAGTTAAAGGGAAAATAAAGGAGAAGTCCACACCCTACAGAGGTAAAATTTTGTGGAGTCCCGGGTGGTCTATTCTGAAGTCATGGGGATTATTCGAGTCCTGGGTGGGAGGTGGGGACCACAGGCCCCCCTGAAAGCTGTCTGCCACACCACTGAGGGCTGAACACTGGATAAGAGGGATGGGTGAGACCCTACCCTGGCCTTGGGGATTTGGCCTGTGCGTGGGGCGGGGGGTAGCCTGCAGTGGACCAAGTGCTGTGATGGGGGTGGGAGTTGGTGAGAGAGAGCAGAGCAGATGGGTATGAGGCAGAGTCGAGGGTTAAACTTGCATGTTTAAGTTAGAGTCAAATGTAAAGTAATTTTGCCAAGAGCCAGTGGTCATGAGGTGTACTTGTTTAGTCTTCCCTAGAGTTTATCACAGAATCTGAACTGTGACTTCAGAGGTAAAGAAAAATTAAGTAGGTTGATAGTATAACCTGTATTGTAGCCAGCAGCAAGTAAGCCTGGTTTTTAAAAGAATTTTTGCCTTTCTATGGAAGTGCAGTAAACAGGAGATTGTACCTATTCAGGTATTCAGTTCATTAGTTTGTAAAAACTGAACACACTATGTGATTAGTGCCAGTGCCTCAGGAGCCCCATCCCCTCTGAGTCATTGTCCCTGGGGTGACAGCCCCTGTCCCGTGGAAGTAGAAGGCAGCGCCCCCTTTCCCGTGGGGTGTCCACGGGCTGCGCAGCACCACCACGGGCTGCGCCTGCCGCAGGGTTCATTCTCGCTGCTGCTTCCCAGTCCAGGGTGAGCACCCGGTGCGTCTGTGTCACTGGGGGTTGGCTTCCGGGTCGGTCCCCGTTTGGGGCTCCTAGGAGTGGGGCTGCCGAGCTGCGCTGTGTGCCCGTGTCCAGCGTCTGTCGGTGCCCTGCACAGCCTTCCGCCGCGGACCCCCATTGTAGACGCGAGTGCTGACCGCTGCCCTCTCTGGCCCCCAGGGTTACAGAACTGGCTACCCTTACCGATACCCGGCCCTGAGAGAGAAGTCCAAGAGACACGGCGACGTGGAGGCTCCTGCCACCGTCACAGGTCACCCCTTTGCTAGTGACGGGGATTCGGGCACTTGCTCTCCTCTCAGACACAGTTTTCAGAAGCAGCAACGAGAGAAGACCAGGTGGCTGAACTCTGGCCGGGGGGACGATGCCTCTGAGGAAGGGCAGAATGGAAGCAGCCCCAAGTCGAAGACTAAGGTGTGGACGAACATTACACACGATCACGTGAAACCTTTGCTGCAGTCTCTCTCGTCCGGTGTCTGCGTGCCAAGCTGTATTACCAACTGCTTGGTCTGTGCCTACCTTACTGTTCATAGTTAGATGATGTAGAGCAAGTTGGGTGGCTGGGGCTTCGGAGGCTTTGGGAACCTTCCCGTTAACCTTCCACAGCTGGAGCCCACACCCACTTAATGCGTCAGTTGTAATGCACACAGTGCTGTCTGCTTGAAACTGCTTAAGATACATCGTTCTGCTCCAGTAACTCCACCTTTGTTCATAGCAGAAGTACCAACTAATGCGTGTATTAACCCAACCCTAGGAGCTGCCGTTTAACTCATCTTGTCTCCGAGGAATCCTAACACTTGTGCACCGCAAGGCAGCTCAGTGGGGGCCTGCCTGCTCTGTGCCATCAGCACCGGGGCTGTCCGGATGTCACTACCTCTGCTCTGTAGCATCTCTAGTGCTTTCTTAAGCAGTTTCCCCTCAGGGCCCCTGACGGGCTCTCGCTGGCCAGTCCTCTCTTGTTAGCCTTCCCTGCTTCTGTCCCAAAGCCTCCGAACGCCCTGGGCAGCTGCCTCCTGCATGGATTGTGCATGTGAGTAGACGGCCATCGCGGAGAGTCTTCGGGCTCCTGCCGGGTGCGGCATGACCCAAGTGCAGCACAGGCACCGTGGCAGGTGGCTGCTGCTGGCGTGCCTCACGCCCATGACCCGCCGACCCCGAGCCACTCTCGGGGCCTGGCACTCAGCGGCCTCTGTGAAGACGGTCTGCAGGGCCCCTCCCCTAGCCTGTGGCAGCCCCCTGCTCCTGCAGTGGGGTCCTGTGGACACGGAGGCGGGACAGACCCCCTCTGCGTGACTAGCCCTGTAGTGCAGATGAGACAAGCTCAGCTGTCCCAACACAGTGGGTTCCCATCAGCACGTGGGGCCTCCTGTCCCACCTCTTACCCCACAGACATGTTGGGGAGGGAATCCTGTGCTCCCAGGTGGTCCTCGTGTCTTCCTGGTGCCCAGCTGGGGAGCGATCTCTGTGCCACCTGTGCGGGCAGGGGCTCCGGGTTCAGACCCATCCCTCCTCCTCCCTGCCTTTGCCCTTCTGCCCTCCCCCCTGCTCCCTCTCCCCCTCTCCCCCTTCTCCCCCCTCCCCCTCTTTTTCCTTGTGCACATTGTTTCGTTTTGACTGATCTCACCTGTGACAGGGAGCGGGGCCTAAGCAACTTTGTGCTGCTGGTATCAGTACACGGGGCTGCGTGCCGGGCCGAATTGTTCCCAAGTCTGTGTGTAGCCGCGGCTTTGAGCTGCATTTACTGTTCTCGTGAAAAGGGGTGGAGGTATTGGGGTGTTGTAGTCAGTGCTGACGTGGAGGGAGACCTTGGTCAGCCCCGAACTCCTGTCTGGTTCTGGAGGGACACTCCTTTGCACGCTCCCAGGTTGGTATGTTCACTTGCAGTAATCATTTCAAGTTTGCAAATGCGTCAAGCTCCCGAGGTTGCTGTTTTCATGTTTTGACTGAAAATTGCCTTTAATGAAAAGCTGGAGTTGTTTAATCTGAAGATGACGTCAGTGAGTACCTCTCGGCTCCACGCCCATCTCACTCCCTTCACAGTGGCTGAGCCCCGCTGCTCCCGCTGCTTTCTTTCCAGTCCCATGGTTTATGGCTCCTTGGTGCCTCTTGAAAACACTGAGAAGCATACCATTTGCTCTCTAAGGGGGCTTGTTTTAATGCTCAGTGCCTGCTCATGCCTCAGAATCCAGTGTGAGTGGAAAGGCCACGTTCAATTCGAGACACAAACTTGAAAGGTGTGGGGTGCTGGCGATGTGCACTGACACCTAAAACAGCCTTCTGGTGAGGATCACAGCGCTTCAAGTTCGTCTGGGATATTTTTGTAACACAGTACAAAGTTATATAAAATATTTCACATCACCACATCTCCCCCCGGGTGCATAAGCGTTCATTCAGCGAATTTCTTGCGCTGAAACAGCTACGCAGCAGTGCATTCTGATGTGCACTTTATTGTAATGCAGAACTTTGGTGATGCCCACTCTCGCCTCCCAGTGCCGACTCGTCCCTCCCTGTGGGTGGCACATCACAGCGCTTCCCACGACCCTGTCATCTCATGCTTCCAGCTGGCTTTGGTGTCAATGACGCTCAGAGCGGTGAACCAATGTGCTCTGAAGGGTCCCCCTGGCAAGCCCTCGGGAGTTGTGGGCACAGCCGTCTGTCGTCAGCCTGTGTCAGACCCTGGATTTCAGCTGGGCCTTCTCAATGGCCCAGGCCGCTCAGTCACAACTCTGGCCTCCACCACTCCTGGTGTCTGTCTGGACACGCCCAGCCCCGTCCGAGGGCTGCAGGGCACAGGGGTGTGGGCATTGGTTCACTCTCTGTTACGTTCAGTGCATGACCAGGTGTGAGAGGAGCTGGACAGGTTGGATGCTGTGGTGTCGCTTCCCACCATCCTGGCTCTGACATTCCACCTGTTCTTGATATTGCAGTGGACTAAAGAGGATGGACATAGAACTTCCACCTCTGCCGTCCCTAACCTGTTTGTTCCGTTGAACACAAACCCGAAAGAGGTCCAGGAGATGAGGAACAAGGTGCGTGCTCTGGTGTGGGAGGGCGGAGGCCGCAGCGGGTGGACGGGCTGCTCGCTGCTGCTGGGGCAGGGAGTGCGTGCTCTGGCCAAGGACCTCTGCCACCACAGTTGCAGCTGAGGTCACTGGTGCGCTGCTTCTGCTCTTGTGCTAGCAGTGTGCCGTGAGAGCCCAGGCAGCTGGGGGCCCTGGTTCTTCACCTGCCGCTCACACAGCAGGGCGGAGCCGGACGCTGCACAGCCTGCTCGTGCCTCTCTGGGTTCAGTGGAGAGCTGTGCACATGTAGTTTGTCAGAACACAGACCTGCCCTGTTCAGTGTCCCAGTACGATGGACACACAGGGAATGTCCCCTCAAGTGAGGGAGTGCTTCTTGCCCCAGGCATCCAGGGTGCCAAATGTAGAGATGGGCCCTCCCTGCCCTCTGACCTGCCCTCTGACCCACAGCTCCTGAGCCGGTGGGATCAGCGCCACATAGCAGGCGGGGTCACGTGGGACCAGTGTGGGCAGGGCACACAGGAGGTGCAGCTGGCATATGGCTGTGGGTGTGAGTCCCAGTCCTGGCGCAGCGTCTCTGTGCCGTTGATGCGCGTTTCTCCCTCTTGCCATCCTCAGATCCGAGAGCAGAACCTACAGGACATTAAGACGGCCGGCCCCCAGTCCCAGGTTTTGTCTGGTGTAATGATGGACAGGAGCCTCATCCAGGTGAGCGCTCAGAGATTCTTGTTACTCTTAAGGTGGGAGAGCGTGACTATGAGGTAAGTGTTCTGGGCAGCAGTCTTTGTTGGAAACCTCCGCGATAAGCAGTCGCAGCCGTGTTTCCCTGGGTGACAGGCCAAGCACGAGCATGCCTGGGGCACGTCCCCCCCCAGTCCGCCCCGTGCAGTGCATGCCTGCGCGGGCCGCACAGCCGCCCGGGGGCCGACTCGCGGCTGGAGTGCGGTGCCCGTGTAAAGTGCGAGGTGAGGGGTTCGGCAGACTTGCTCTTGTGCACGTTGCTGTCTGCAGCCCAGCGCTGCTTGGGGGGACGGTGGCCACAGAGGGTGCCTGTCAGTGTGGTCTGCAGTGACCCACATTGCTATAAAGAGACGGTGCCTCCGGGCCCATTGAGGGTAACCGTGTAAGCAGTTGCCCTGAAACCTTACACGTTACTGCAGGTGGTAGTCACTGCCTCTTCTGAGTGGCCAGCTGTGCTCCTGACTCCAGGGTGAAGTGTGTGCCCCCCCACACCACCCCACTCCTCGCACCTTCCCTGTGCGGGCTGTCTCTGCTGCATGCTCTTGGCGGCGCTATCCTGTGGGCTCGGTTGGTACTTCAGGCTGGGCCTGGGGCTCTGCTCACTCAGTTTACTGTTGCAGGACGCACCCCTGTCCGACTGCACGGAGACAATCGAAGGGCTCGAGCTCACAGAGCAGACCTTTAGTCCAGCTAAATGTCTCTCTTTTAGAAAGGTACTCACTGCCCTGCCCTCAGCTACCGGTCGGCACAGGCTGCTTCTACCTGCCCACCCCGCCCTGTCTGCCCCCACTGGCGTTGTGGTAGCGGCTGACACAGGTCTGACCTGCACACAGGTGTCCAGGTCATTTGTGAGACAGTACGGAAGGTTCTGTTCGGCCCCCTCCATTCTGCAGTCACCACATTCGCTGTGAAGTTACTTTTACAGTTTTCAGCGTTCTCCGTTGCTGTGGAAACATGGCAATTTTAGCGCTGGGGTCCTATTCTGAAGTTCCACGTGTGACTCTGGTCAGTGCTGGCACTGCCCCGTGGGACTTTCCCCTTCACCTGCTCAGCTGCGACCCTCATGTGACAAACGTGCAGTTGGAGGTGGTGTGACTGGAAGATGTCATTTCACAGAATCAGGGAATGAAGCAAGACAGTCTTTGTCAGCCCTTATTGATGAAGTGTGTTTATTTTGACCTTTAAAAAAAACCTAGGTAATTTTTTAATGTTGCAGGAGGGAAACTTATAAAAATTTGTGGTTTTTTTTCTACTTCAGTTAACTTCTTTTTTTTAAAATTTTTTAATTGATTATGCTGTTACAGTTGTTCTATACCCCCCTTCATTCCCCTCCACCCTACACCCCCATCCCCACCATTACCCCCCTTTAGTTTATGACCATGTGTCTCAAGTCCTTTAGATTCTATATTTCCCATGCTATTCTTGCCCCCCCATCTGTTTTCTATCTACCGTCTATGCTACTTATTTTCTGTACCTTCTCCCCCCTTCTCCTCCTCCCACTCCCCTGTTGCTAACCCTCCTTGAGATCTTCATTTCTATGTTTCCACTCCTGATCTAGCTGTCCTTTTAGTTTGCTTTTGTTTTAGGTGTGGTTGTTAATAACTGTGAGTTTGTTGTCCTTTCACTGTTCATGTTTCTTTAACTTCTTTTTCTTAGATAAATCCCTTTAACATTTCATATAATAAGGGCTTGGTGATGATGAACTCCTTGAATTTGATCTTATCTGAGAAGCACCTTATCTGTCCTTCCATTCTAAATGAAAGTTTTGCTGGATAGAGCAATCTTGGTCGTAGGTCTTTGGATTTCATGACTTGGAATACCTCTTTCCAGCCCCTTCTTGCCTGTTAAGGTCTCTTTTGAGAAATCCGCTGACAGTCTGATGGGAACTCCTTTGTAGGTGACTGTCCCCTTAGCTCCTGCTGCTTCTAGGATTCTCTCCTTCATTTTAATTTTGGCTAATGTAATGATGATGTGCCTTGGTGTGTTCCTTCTTGGGTCCAACTTCTTTGGGACTCTCTGAGCTTCCTGGATTTCCTGGAAGTCTATTTCCTTTGCCAGATTGGGGAAATTCTCCTTTATTATTTGTTCAAATAAGTTTTCCACTGGTGGCTGTGCCTTTCCCCCTTCTGGTACCCCTATAATTCGGATGTTGGAGTGTTTAAAGATGTCCTGGAGGTTCCTAAGACTCTCCTCATTTCTTTGAATTCTTGCTTCTTGACTCTTTTCTGTTTGGCCATTATTTGCTTTCTTCTGGTCCACTCCATTGATTTGAGTCCCAGTTTCCTTTTCATTGCTATTGGTGTCCTGTGCAATTCCATTCATTTCAATTAGTTTCACCTTCATATATTTGTCTAATTTGTGGCTATAATCAACCAGTTTTGTGAGGATCCTGATGACCAGTGTTTTAAACTGTGCGTCTGAGAGTTTTGCTATTTCTTCATCACTTAGATCTATGGGCTCTGGGGCTTTGAGATCTTCTTGCGACATTTTTGGTCTGTTCTGGACCTTTCAGTGTGAGAAGCGGTACCTTGGACTCCCAGGTCGCTGGGTTGTGACACTGTATGTGGGGGCGTGGTCAGAGCGGGGAAATGGCCGCCCCCTCTGCTGTTTTTCACAGCTGGGTGAGGAGCAGCGCCTTAGGTGGTTCCCCTGGGCCGGGCCACTAAGAGTCGCTGGGTTATGACCCTGTATGTGGAGGTGGGGTCAGAGCAGGGAAATGGCGGCGCCCTCCAACTGCCGCTTGCCGCGGGGACCCGCCAGGCTCCCGTCCAACCACCCACTCCCTCGCCTGTCCTCCCTCGCACAAATGCGCGACCACAGTCAACACGCAGCACCGCTCCCCCGCTGTCTCCCCCGCGGTCGCTCGCCTAGTGGCTCGCTCGGTCGCTCACTAGGTCCAACCTTGGGCCTGGATTCCGCGCGTCTGGATTCCGCGCCTGAGTCCGGCTGACCGAGACCTCCTGTGCAATCCCGCTTCACCAGCCGCTGGTTTCGCCCCTTACCGGTCAGGCTGAAGAATTTGTTGTTAACGGACTTCCGAAAAGTTCAATTTTCCATGTTCTGGCTGTGTTTTCTGTTGCTAATATTTAGTTGTCTCTAAACTTGGTTGTGTGAGAAGGCCCGGCACATCTACCTATCAAGACTTATAAAAATTTGAAACCCAAAATTACAGTTCTCCTTGTACACACATACCTGACGTGTTCATTAGGGGAAAATCCATCTGGCCTCATGTGCCCAGGTCGGAGATCTGCCTGCTGCAAGCTTTGAGGCTGCTGGTATGCAGGAGGTGGTGCCGAGGCAGGGGGCTGACCGCAGGCGCAGGGCCAGGGCCTCAGGTGTTCACCTGGGTGCAGAGGAGCTTCTGAGGGTCTGTGTCTGTCAGTTAACGCACCTCCCGGGAGGTACAAGTACCATCTCACCTGTGTTCCAGTTGCCAGAGAGGGTCTGGTTTGTTGCAGGCATTCCATATCCTGTCTGGGATCCTTGTTAAAAACATTATTTTGTGTGTTTATGTATTATTTTCACGGGTCTCATTTCCTCTTGTCCTTAAAATGTATTTTTTGCAACTGTTCTTGGAGAAGCTTCTTAGACCGTGGGAAAGAGATGGCCTCTTGCCTGTCCACTTGGTTTTCGTGTTTCCATACTGTGTGGTCTTGTTAGATTCTCGTTCTTTTATCTCAGACTGTGAAGGCGTGTGCAGTCCGTGAGCCCCGGGGGCTTACTGAGTGGCGCAGCCCTCCAGCTTTGCAGCAGAGAAGCCGGTTCAGGCAGGCTCTCTGGCATCGGACCTCACGTGGTTCTTTCTGTTTGTGACTTCAGGGCTGCCTCCTACACGGCAGACTGGCCCACTGTCTGGGAGGCTGCTCTGTACGCCAGTCCCTCCTCCCATCCCAGTGCTGGTTTTGCTCTGTTCAGTGGTGCATCACCGTTGCCTGTTCATGGAGTGCGGGTGCAGGCCCCTCTCTGGCTGGCCGTGGGGGTGGGATTCCCAGTGAGTCCTGTGTCCTTTGTAGGACCAAGCACCAGACTGGACCCTGGGGGGTCCGTGCTGAGCCCAGCAGAGATGTCCTGTGCAGAGACCCCCGCTCCAGCTTGTCTTCTGGAGGCTCCCATTTGCACCTTGGCCTTCTTCCCGTGACAGAGTGCATCTGACGGTGAGGGTGTGCTGTGACCCCAGTGCTGCTGATGGGGGTCCTTTCTGGGCCGTGTGTGGACCACCGAGCGCAGGTCACAGTGCTCCTTTTGAAAGGTGGCACTGCTTGCTGGCAAGGTGAGCTTGTCCTTGACCAGATGAAAGGACCATGTCTGTTCCTGCCCTGCAGACGTCCTCTCTCCAGTGAGCAAGCCTGCAGATATTTGCTTCCCAATGAAGAGCCTGAGAAATGGGCACGTGAGGCTAATGAGGTTGGGGTCTTTCTGGAAGGTCTTTCCTTTGCTTCTGTCTCTCCCTTGTCTTTTGACAGAAGGGGCAGCGAGTCCCCAGCCACACCCTGCTCACCAGTGCCCAAGACCCAGGAAGCCCAGCCAAGGCCTCTCTTGACTCAGCGCTGTGCGTGCTGGAGCATGGTCACTCTGGCCGCCTTCTGGATTTGAGTCTCTGGAGAGCAGGGCGTGAAGGTGTGCGGTTTGCGCTGACAGCTGCTCAGCACAGTGAGGAGTTCTGTGGGGCCTGCACAGCCCCCAGGGCCCGTCTCGATGCACCCCTCTGCACGCAGGGCTACACCCCCGCCCCCTGTGTGCTGCCTGAAACGTGAGGGGCCTGGGGCTGCCTTGAGGACTCACGGGGAACTTGGTGTTCGGCGCCTAGTATATGCCTGGTCCAGGAGCAAGAATGTAAATTCAAGTCTGTGTAGGTTTGCAGATGAAAACCTGGGGCTCAGGTCAGATCGCCATCCCAGGTTTGCGCTGTATAAGAGGGGCTCTCACTCCACTCAGGCTGCCTCAGCCCCGGGCAGAGGAGCAGCTGGGCATCTGCTCTGCTCAGGGCCCGTAGTAGGGGCTGGACCTTAGGGCTACAGCCAGAGCCTCCACAGTCACACCCGACGTCACAGCTGGGTGGCTTCCACAGGGCATGTTTCTCTCTGCATCCTTGAGCATTGCTCTTTTTTCCAGTGCCAGGTTGGCCCTCACTGGGGAGGAAGCCCCTGCCAGCAGTGGCCAGAAGCAGCCATATGGTGCTGGAGGGCCAGGTGTCCTGGCCTAGGAAGGGCCTTGGGGCTTCATTGTCCAAGGGGCATCCCTGTGGTGGTCAACTCTCGATGGTTCTCCTTTACTCACTTTGAATGTCTGACTTAAATGGACGTGTGCCTTCTTCTCAGGTCTCCTATCACCTTCCTGTTTCATGGGCAGGGACACCAGGGTGCATGAGCTGCTAGCCAGACTCCTCTTGGGGATGGTAAGACAGGCCTGTGGACAGGAGGGGGCTTGTCTCAGGCCCCAGGGCTACGGAGTGGCAGAGGAGGGTTCAAGTCCCTGTCTTGGGAGGCTGGGCTGCCTCTGAATGAAAAGCTGGTTGATTTGGGTCAGGCCTGGTCTAAAAGAAGCCTGCCCACCCAGGCGATCTTGAATCTTGAGTCTCTCTGAGCACAGGTTGCTGATTTCAGCAGGCCCTTTTCTTCTGTTCCCTGGGAGTGCTCCAGACACTCAGTCCCCAGCTCATGGGACCGGGGCCACGAAGCCCAGGCTCCCCTGGCCCCCGGTTCAGCTCTGCGTGCCTGGCTGGGATGCTGTGTGCCCCAGAGGTTCGCCCCTCGCTGAGCAGAATGCTGATAGAGCGGGCCTGGGACCAAAGTGGTTTTGGATTCCCTTGTCTTCACTTGCTGGAAGCTCTCATTAAGTAATGGGCACGTGCGTGAGTCCCCGTTAACTCTCAAAGGTGAGAGTCGGGTGAGCCCCTGAGCACCTGGGGGCTGAGCAGGCTGAGCTGTGGGGCACAAAGCCATGCTGGGGCAAGGGAGTGCCCGATGGGCTTCACAGCCCCGAGGGCTGCCCACCTGGCGCCCTCCCCCTCTCTCCCCAGGGCCTGTCCAACACCCTGTGTCCAGCCAGCCTGCTGGGCTGCCTCCTAGGAGACCGGACATGGTCTGGGAGCCGCCTGGGCACCGCACAGTGCTTTGTGTTTTCATTTCTTCCACACATTCTCGGTTTCCCAAATCCCTCAGACTCAGGCACAGTGTTTATGTCAGAAGAGCAGAGCTTATCTGTGCTCTCAGAATGGGAGCAGACCCAGCAGCAGCCTCCCTGAGTGCAGTGGTCTGTGGCTCCCTGATGTGGCGGGGGGGGGGGGTCCGTGAAGCCCACTCACCCCGTCAGCGGGTGAGGGGCTCCCTGCTGCATCTGCACCTTGCTGCCATTGCTTACGGAACCTGAGGACCTTCCCAGGACTCTTCCCCTGTTACATGTACTTCATTGCGTCAGAATCATTTCTCCATCTGCTCCCACTGAAGGCTGTGGCTCAGCCTGCGCCCCAGAGATGTGTGTACCCCAGAGAGCTGCCTGCCCCACCTGCCTGCAGCCCAGCCTGGGAGGGGGTCATCCCCGTGGCAGGGCTCCCTCAGACCTGGCCGCCCTCTCTGTCCTCAGGGGGAGCTGGTGACGGCCTCCAAGGCCATCATTGAAAAGGAGTACCAGCCCCACGTCATCGTGAGCACCACGGGCCCCAACCCCTTCACCACGCTCACCGACCAGGAGCTGGAGGAGTACCGCAGGGAGGTGGAGCGCAAGCACAAGGGCCCCTCAGGTGAGCACTCGAGCGGGGGGCTGGCACCACGGCAGGTTCAGTGTGGCCGGCTGTGCAGGGAGTGCCTCCATGCCCCAGGCACCTGGTTCAGGACAGAGGGTTCCCGTGCTCCCTCCCTCCCTCCTCCGCAGGTGGGCCCCGAGAGAACAGGTCAGACCCACCTGCGAGTGCTGTACTCGGGAACCCACAGTGCGCGTGGGAGAGGTGACGGCTGAGCACTCCAGTGCCCACTGCTGGGCTCCAGTGTGCTGTCCCACGCCGGGCAGAGGGCCAGGCCCAGAGGTGCCCTGGTCATCAGGTTCCCATGAGGACACGGGTGAGGCAGGGAGGAGAAGGGGGCATGTGGGGCCCACTGCCCCCGGAGAGTCCTGTGTGTGCTGGTGTGCTGGTTCTTCAGCAGGACTGTCGTCCATGCTGAGTGATGGGGACGTTTCTCTGGGACGGTCTGTGGCAAAGCCGGCCTCCCCAGCACTTGTAAGAGATGGTCGGCCTCGGACACGTGTGGTTTCTTCTCCGAGAGCCTGACAGAGAAGGGGCCTCCTCTGCTTCAGGGGTGTCAGTTAACACTCGTTAGTCACCTTTGAGCAGTCACCAGGCACCGTGCCCAGCGCTACACACGTGTGCCTCCCAGCCAGTGCTCACAGTGACACTGAGGGGCAGGCGGGCGGGTCCCAGGAACCCAGACTGCGTGCAGCAGAGCCCGGACTGGCCCGCGGCCCAGGTCTGCGCCAGTGCTCGGCCGTCTCGCGGTGGCGCAGCTTCGGGCTCCTCTTCATCCCGGTTGGCGCTCACCGCCGGGGAGGCGGCACGTCCTCGTCTCCATACTCCCTGCTACCGCCCAGCCGGCATGGTGGCCGCTTGCCGGCCAGCCTTCCTTTCTCTTGGGAACTTGCTGGCCTAGGAGGTCATGTTTTTGTAAAATGGGGTGGGACTGTTTCACAGCAAGTGGGAGCAAATGGCTCTTAGAGCCAGACCTCACGGAGCAGGTTGTTTCAAACTTCAGCTTTTTAAAAAGTAGATTCAGATATTTCGAGAAGGATGAGAGAAGCAAGCCTCCCCCAGGCTCTGCAGTGAAGGCTTAAGAGGGTCTGGGTCCCTTTCCTTGAGCGCCCTGGGTTGATACCAGGAAGACCCTGGGGCACAGACGTCTGCCCACTAGGAGGTGCCTGCTGCAGTCTGCAGGGCCGGCCGCAGGCTCGGCCTTGGTCTTTGTGCGGAAGCCTCAGGTGTGCAGTCGGCCCCCACTTCCTGCTCCTCTCGCCCCCAGGAACCAGTTTCCCTGGAGTGAGGTCCCACAGTGGGTGGTCCTGGCAGTGCACTCTGGGTCAGTGGGTGACTCTCCTGGGAGCTCTCTGCTGCTCCTCTGTCTCTGACTTGCCCCGGTTCACCTCCTTTTGTGTCTTGCATTAGACTAGCTGTTGCTGCCCTTGGAATTTGAGTAGTGCAGAATGCTACTGCTGAATTGATTTTAGCGTGTGTTACACTGTCACTGCCTGTCACTTCCCCTTACACGTGCATTGCAGGTAGGACTCACTGCACATCAACACAGCCCACACTGATTCCGGTCAGCCACCCTGAGTGGCGCAGAGGGCCCTGCAGAGAGCTGCCGGGGGCCCCACTGTGGCGCCTGCCGCAGGCTGAGGGCCTGGGAGCGTGTGGCTGAGGCCTGTCACATGCACGTGCGTCCGCTCTCTGGGCCCTTCCCGTGTTCTGGGAACTGGGACTTCTTCCTTTTTCATCTGAGTCAAACCACATGACACACAAGACTTTCTTTCCTCTTGATCAGGAGGGATGTTACAGACAGCAAGTGAGCAGGGGGAACAGCCGTGACCGTGCTCCGTGAGCCCTGCCAGGATCCCCTGCGTGTCCTGGTGCTGTCCCTGGGCATGGGGGCAGGGGTGCCACAGGTCAAGGTCAGCACTGGCTATCTGATGAGCGAGGCTTCGGCCTCAGGGAGCAGGTGTGAATGTAAAGGCCTTGGTCGACAGGTGCCTGGCTTCAGGGAGGCACCTGTAGGCTTCGCTGGTGGGCATCTCTCTGAGGTTGGGGCCCTGCCGGTTACCAAAGCTTGTTCAGAACATGGGAGCCAGTGGTCCTCAGTGGTGACTGTGCACCTGCACGAGAGAGAAGGGGGCTAAGGAGCGAGGGGACACGGGGACTAAAGCGAGGGCATGTGTTTCTCTGTGAGGGGGCAGACGCAGAACCTGCTGGGTCCTGGATCGCGGTTCCGGTTCCCCTGGTCCCCACCAGCATATCGCACTTCAGAGAAGGGACATAGCGTTACAGTCGCCAAGCTTCCACTTTTGGTGGAAAATGCTCTGCGTGAAAAAACCGAAGTAATGCAGACTACGGTAACGCTCCTGTAGTCTCCCTAGAGGTGGTGCGGAGCGGGGGCCCGGGCTGCCGCCCAGCAGAGGAGAGGGCTGCTTGCTGGAGGGCAGGCAAGGCAGGTTGGAGGGCGGCAGAGCCGGCAGGTCACCGACAGCTGGGCAGACTGGTGCGAGTCAGAATAGAAGTTAATGTTGAGTCCAGAGTCGGTGAAATCTTTCTGAAATCTAGATCCACACCCCATTGATACTGGACTTCTTCACCCTCTTTTGGGGAGGAAGGTGAAGGGTGCAGACAGCCGTGGGTGTGAGCCCTTCCTGGTCTCTTGGATGCGCCCTCGGAGACCCGTCCTCCCTGAGGTGGTAGAGGGCCACCTGCTCCTGAGGGGATGCAGGCTCCTGGCAGCATCTTAACTCGCCCTTTTCACCTTCTGTCCCCGGCAGAGAGTGTGGACGAGACCACAGAGCAGAGAGGTGGCAGTCCTCCAGAGTGCCCTGCCGCCTCCAGCACCCCTGTCAAGCTGGACGAAGGTGAGCTCTGGGCTGGGGGTGGGCGAGGCTGCCCCAGTGAGGGGGAGGGTGCAGGGCCCTGTGGGGAGGGTCGGGGGTGGGTGGGCTGTGTGTTCCATTCAGTGAAGGGGGGCAGCTGACGCTAGTGAGGACGTGTGCCTTTGTGTGGGCACCGGCCGGCATGAGGCTCCAGGCCTCTGCCTGTGCCGCCCCTGCTTTGCCTGTGTCCTAGGTGACTTGAGGCAAAGCGGAGCGTCCGTAAGATGTCCCTAGGTGGGGACAGAGGTCTGTTCTGCCCACTTTGCACATTTCCGAGCCTTTGCTGGGCTTGGACCACGCTTCTAGAAGTGTCCTTCGAGCTGTCTGGGCACAAGACGTCATTGGACCTGCCGTGTCATCCGTCCATGGGGAGTGCTGGCCTTTGTCAGCCTCTCAGACTGCCCACTGCATGACTGTGGCGTGTGGCCTCCGTGTCTGTCCCTCGGTCTTGTACGTCATGCTCCCCGTGTCTGTGGGAGCCTGTGGCTCACCTTCCACCCCGTCTGTGTCCACAAGAATGGCTCGGCCATTCTCCTCCGGTGGCTGTGACCGAGTGCATAGATTCTCTCCCTGTGCTTTTCTCTTCTTGTGGCTGCGTTGCAAGCAGGAGGATGTGCTAAAGAGTACCTGTTACCATAGTAAGTACCGCCGGCCGGCGGGCGCCCTGTGCTTTGCCTCACTCTGCTGCTTTGTTGCTTACTACCTTTTGTTTTCTGTTTATTCAAAATAAAAACATTGTCCCACCCCGCTTTCCCCACCTTGGTACCCAGTCCTTCCATTCTGGGCAGTGGCCTTCCTGGAAGGGGCTTGGTCACCTGAGAGCTATATGGTGGGCAGCCCACCCTCAGGGCTCCCGTGGGCCATGGCGGCAGTGGGCTGAGCGCTCTGGGTCTCAGAAGTCCCACAGCAGCCTGTCGACCTGTCTGGTCTTGAGACCTGGGATTGCTGGGGGCGAAGACATGAGTCCAGATGAAGTTCAGACAGAGTGGGATTTTGCCATCTGCCGCATGGAAGTCTCATGTGTTTGGATCTTTGAGCTCAGGACAGAAGAGTGACATTTGGTGCTCTTTTTTAATGTGACCTTTGGTCCAACGATAAAGGTTTCTGTGAGCATCAAGAGGCCACCTCTGCACGCTTTGCAGAGTGACCCTAACTTCCTGCCATCCCAGGTCCGCAAGGGCAGGCTGTCCGTTATCCTGGGGCCGTGCCAGCCACCGGCGCCCGGTGTTCGCAGCCAAGCCTTCAGTGGCTGCTTGTCACCCACACCAGCTCTCCTCCCGTCACCTCCCGAGGTTTGGCCTGATTGGTGAAGGTCTGAATGGTCTGGTGCTCATAACCTGTTAGTCACTTGGGACTTTGCAGGCTCTTCTTAAAAAGTCTGTAAAACCAGCTCCCCCCCAACGCAGCCTGGCGATGGTGATCTTCACTTCACACCAGCCCTCCGCTGTTTTCTGAAGACAAGTTACACAGTGTTCCTTAGGTGTCCCCTGCAGACCATTCAGTGGCTTGATTTTTGCTCCTCTCGCCGATCCCTTCCTTTAATTAACCCACCCGCCCAGCGTGGCTTTGTTGATTTGATGCTGATTCGCACATGGTCTGGGAGTGACCTGGGGTTTCCACGGGCTGCCATCGCTTTCCATGGTTTTCTCCGTAGGGGAGGCCAGGTGTGGTGGCCCCAAGTTGAGGCTTACTTTAGGGTCACTCATGTGTGCTCCTAGGGTTCTAGAGCAACCTCGCTTCAAGGGCTGAGTGCAGCAGCTGCTGCACCGGTGCCGCCCCAGCTCGCCTCCACCGCGCTGCCCGGGACGGAGGCCGCTGGTGTCGGCAGGCTTCCCCGAGAAGGGGCTGAGCCCTCCCCAAGGCTGAGTCTGCGTGTGGCGCAAGGGGCTCCCTCCAGCCTCAGAGTACAGCAGCCTGACTCCGAGTCACTTCCTCTTGTCTTGGTAGAAGGCTCTGGAGTCAGGCCGGGGGCCGCTTCTGTGCTGGGTCATGCCCACCTCAGGCTCCCCTTTGAGGGCTGGGCAGCTGTCCTAACCCTGTCTCTCCTGCCCACCAGACCTGCCTCGGGACCCTGCTGTAGGAGACGACGGCGATGTCGCCACCTCTAAGCCGACTCTCCCTGACCTGTCCCCCGATGAGCCTTCAGAAGTGCTTGGCTTCCCCACACTGGACGAGGAGGAGGAAGAGGGGCTTGGCGAAGCCCAAGGCCCTCGCAGCCCCGCCAGGTCCTCCACCGTGGCCAGCCCCGAGCCAGCCCCAGCCCCAGCCCCAGCCCCGGGGGCTGAGGAGGCCTCCTCCCCCACCACTGAGGAGGGTGCTGCCGCAGACCCAGGCAGTGATGGGTCTCCAGGCAAGTCCCCCTCCAAAAAGAAGAAGAAGTTCCGCACCCCCTCCTTCCTGAAGAAGAGCAAGAAGAGGAGCGACTGCTGAAGGCCCGTCCTGTCCAAACCCGCTGTGTCTTGTATTGTCTTCCTGGGTAATGGAATGCTGAACCCATCCCCTGTGTAGCTAGAGACCACCCCCCCCCCCAGTCCCTCGCAGACCGGTGCTAACCTCCTGTGCTCCAAGAGGCCTCCCCTGGGCCGGGGCTAGAGCCTCGGGTCTAGGGAGGCTTGGTCCCTGTGTCCACCTCTGCGCCCGTCTGTCTGCTCCTCAAGTCGTGCCCCTGCAGCTCGGCCTTGACCTCTTGCTCTCCTTCTGTTGTGAAGTGAGCACGCTCCGTCCCTGCTAGGCTCCCCTTCACTCCAAGGTCTCAGGTGACTGGCTCAGACTTTCCTGCTGGTGTTACCTGCTTGGTGACCTCACTTTGCTCACGTACACACAGCCTTGGTGAGAACTCCCCTGTGCTTGCCAGTGGCCCAGGGCAGTGGCGGTCTCAGAGAGGCCGGCGGGCTCAGCTGGACACCCAGCAGCAGACGGGCCTGTGTGCGCCCAGCGCAGCCTGTGCGCGGCCTGACCGCCCCCCCGGCCAGAATCAGATTCAGGGCCCTGTCTTACTGGGGTCTCTTGATTCCTGTCGCAGGGAGGGTATATCAGTCGGGGAAGAGTCCTTTCTAAAATTTTCTTTCAGCATGTGCAGTTCATCTCACATTGCTAGCTGTGAACACAAATGGTGACTTTCTGTGTTACTTTCTCTTTACCTGTCAGGGAGGTTTGGGGACAGAGGGGGTCTGCTCTTAACCTTGTCCTGAGACAGACCTGGTTTTGACCAAGGGCAGCTCAAGGCAGAGGTTGGCCCTGGTGGCCCTGCAGCCACTGAGCCCCCATCACTCATGGAGCCCTAACTGGCTCTTCTTCCGTGAACTTTCACTTCAACTCCAACCCCTGGAAAAGGGCGTAAAGCTCCTTCCTGGGAGCCAGCAGGGGTCTGCCTGGACTCCTTGAGGGGGCCCCTCCCGGGAGCTGCCTGGTGCCAGCCTGCCTGCCCCCTCTTGTCCCAGAGCCCTTGGGGAAGCACCAGATGTGGGCTCAGTGCCACAGATTCGACACCCCAGCAGGACCGAAGCCGGCCGCACAGCACTGCCCGCTGCTCTGAGCTTCCTGGCCAGCACCCGCTTCCCCACGTACCGACTGTCGCCCAGGTGCGGCCCCGCTCCCTGCACCGCCCTGTCCTTGAGTCGGCCACAGGCTCTTCCTCGGGCCCTCCCTTCATCCCACACGTGCCCGGCGTCCATTTCCCTTTGTAGTTTATTTTGACTTTGTATCACAACATGGGGTTTAGTCGCACACAGACACAGGCCGTGTCCTTTCTTCGTTGGGCCGCATCTCACTCACAAATAAAGTTCTTTAACCTGTACCCTGTCTCACTTAGGAAGCAGTCGTGCATTTTAATCCCTTCTCTTTGATTTCCTAATAGGACCTGCAGGTTTGTCTCAGATTCCAAAAAACCCCAAAGTGTTTTACTTCTTGGTGAAACACCGTGGGTCCCTTTGCACTGACTGGGGAGGACCTTCTAACCCAGAGCTGCCATGCCCCAGGACCACTCGCTCCTCCCTGGGAGATGGTGGTGCAGGTCAGGGGCTGCTGGGCAGGGCCCCCAGAGCCAAAGTCATGCAGTCCCGTGTCCCCTACTATCAGAGCAGACCTTGGAGTCAGTCTGGCAGGGGCCAAGCAGGCAGGTGGGGTTGGGGACAGCCCAGCAGGAGGGACCCCCCCCCATCTGCTGCGGTGCAGGGCACACCTGGGTGTCACCTTGCCGGGGCTGACCTGTCTGGGAAGGAACTGCACTGACTTCCCACCTTCACCATGTGCAGAGGGAGCGGCCCTGCAGTCAGTGGAGCTGACGGGCGTGCAGATCCCGCTGCTGCCCAGGGTGTGGTGGGTGTTGAGGGACGCTGTGTACTGGAGGAAGGCGCTTGTTATAAAATAGCTGCTTTATTGTCATTCGGACGCCTGGCTGATTGCCTGTTCCAAAGTGTAAAAAACAAACCAGAGTCCCCGACTATGTGTGTAACAGGCAGGGTTGCCCGGGTCTGGAGTGTTGGAGGGGCCCCTGCGACGTCCTAGGCTGGGCCCCAGGGCGAAGAAAGGGGTGGTCTTGGCCCAGACTCCGACTTCCTGCCTCAGCTGCCCGGCCTGGGTGGGGCTGGCTCTGCTACTCGGCCTTGAGTGCGCACGCCAGAGGCGGCAGGGTCCGCAGGAGGAGGAAGGGGAGCAGGAAGAGCCCTGAGCACACGGTAAAGCAGGCCGGGGCACCCATCAGCCAGTACACTGTAGAGAGACAGCCAGGCCGTGACGTGAGCCCACCCTGACCCCACCTGCCGCCACTACCACCCCCCCAGGCTGGGGTGGCAGCACAGAGCTGGACCCAAGATGGTAGCTGTGGGAGGTCCCCACCAGGGGCAGTGGCCTGGCTCCCCAGGCCCACAGCCCTCACCTGAGGCAGCCGCCATGGGCCCCACCGCCCTGGCCAGAGCGCCCAGGCTCCGCAGTGTGCCCATGACCGTGCCCTTCTGCCCAGGCGAGCCTGTGGGGGAGAGGGAGGGGCTGTCAGATGCCGGGCGGCCTCTTCCCATGTGGGATGGCCTTGGTCAGGAAGGGCTTCTCACCATAGCCGGCGACCACGGAAGACAGGCAGGGCACCACGACAGCGGCAGCTGGGGGTGGAGGGCATCAGTGAGGCACCCACTGGCCCGGAGGAGTGACTAAGGGCTCACAACCAGAGGACTCACAGCTGTTGGTGGCCACCACCCCTCGCCCTCCGCCCACCACCCCCGCACCACCACCTCTGCCCTCCAACCGCCTCACCGAAGGAGTAGAGCAGCAGCCCCAGGCCCAGCACAGGCAGTGTGTGCCCCCAGCCGATGAGGAGGAAGGCAGGGACCAGCAGCAGGATGGCCTGCAGGGGGGCACAGCAGACCTCAGGACCCACTCCGGCCACTCCACAGGGCTCAGGAAACCACCTGCCCCCATTTCCGGGGGAGCACCCCATACCCGCTTCACAGCTGCAATTTCTCTGCCGGGGCTGATCCGCCGGGCGTAGGCGCCCTGGATGGTGGCCATGGTGAGTCCGATGAAGAAAAACATCTTTCCCTGCTGCAGGCTGGGAGCGGGGGGGAGGCTTAGCGCCCCAGCCTGCTGGCCAGCTGCCCAGCCTTGCTTGGCTGAGAGAGGGAACCAGGCTGACAGCCACTACCTGGCCCGGGTTCCTGGGCTGAACCTGAGGAGGGTTGGGAGATGGCACAGTGTCCCCTAGTGGGGTCCTACAAGGGTTCTAACACCCACCTGCTGAACTGGAAGCGCTGGTGTGCAAGGAAGCTTAGTGTGTACTCCAGGCCCGAGAACAGGAAGAGGTACAGGAAGTAGACCAGGCCCAGGCGGCGCAGGTGGCTGAGGCCTGTGGGGCAGAGGAGCAGGAGTGTGAGGGCCCAGCGGACAGCAGCCAGGGGACTTCCACCTTTGTGCAGGCTGCTCCTTACTGTCTCCAGTGGGCGGGTCCTGGCCACGGGCCACGGCAGAGAAGCGGAACAAGGCCAGGGGGCTGAGCAGGTCCGCAGCAGCTTGGAGCCCCAGGGTGATGGAGGGCGCCTGCCAGAGGGCATAACTGAAGAGGCTCGCTAGTGGCCTGGGGGTGTCCCTATGTCCAGCAGCCCAGGGAGGGCATGACCCAAACCAGCTCAGCCCTAGCAGCTTGGCCTTCAGTCACCTGCCAGGCCTCAGAGACAAGGGGCCTGGGGAGCACAGGGACCCCGGGAGGCACTGTGTCGCCAGGAGCTTCTGGATTCCAAGAGAGGATAGCCCGGCCTCCCCTAGCTCCCAAAACTGTCACCTGTGACGGGCTCCCTGCAGGCCCACAGAACCAAGCCCCCAGCCCCAGGACCTGTTAGTTGTTTCTAGGTCCCACTGTACCCGCTTCTCCAGGGGCAGTGTCTCCGGCAGGAAGCAGAAGAGAAACAGCAGGTCAGAGACGGTGAAGAGCAGGGCGAGCCAGGGCGCGGTCTCCACAGGCAGGGAGGCGCCCAGCATGGGGCCCAGCGTGAAGCCCAGCGAGAAGGCCACCCCGAGGACTGCCTGAGGAGAGAAGGCTGCCTGAGCCCGGAGGGAGACTCAGGCCCTGGCATCCCTGCACCCTCGTCCCCTGGCGTGAGCACTCACCATGCCTCGGCTTCGGGCGGGCGGAGAGCCCAGGTCGGCCACAATGGCTGTGGAGAGGCTGACGTTCCCCTTGCTGATGCCACCAATCACCCTGGAGGCCAGGAAGGCTGCGAAGCTCCCCGAGGCTGCCCACACAGCATAAGAGGAGGCCAGACCTGCCTGCCTCGGGGCCAGAGCAGAGGGACAGGCAGGTCACCCAGAGCCAGGAGGGGCCCAGAGGGGGCCAGCAAGCCCAGCAGCACCCCTGGGGCCCTGCCAGGTTCCAGAGCATCCAAGAGCCACTCATGTTCCCGATGTCCCGTGGCAGCAGTAGTAGCCTGGCTTAGACACAGGAGCTACGGGCCCCTCAAGGACCCACCCCCGCCCCGTACCAGGGACAACAGCATCACTGGGCGCCTCCCCAGGCAGTCCGAAATGGCCCCCGTGAGTGGTGCTGAGAGGAACTGCAGGGCTGAGAAGATGGAGCCAATCAGACCTGGAGGAAACAAGTCACAGTCAATACAACACAGTCTCAGTCCCCAAGGATCTGGTCACACTCGTCCTGCACCCCCAGGCCATGGACCTGAAGCCAAAGTGGCCCTGACAGAGTGGACAGTCGGAGAGGGAGCAGATAGTGCCTGAGGATCAGAAGGTGTGGACAAGGACTGACGGGAACCCAGGGAGTGGAGAGAGAAGGCTCTAGGAAGGTGGCAGCCGAGGAGCTCCAGTGCCGTACCTCCGAACAGGACGCTGTTGTACCTCTTCTCTGCTGGCATCCCGATGGCTGCGGCAAACCAGTCCACTCCTCGCTGCCATGAGCCATAGAGGGGGTCCTGGGGGACAAAGGAGGATGACTGGCTTGGGGAGTCCCCGAGGGGCTGGGGGCAGTGGGCAGCCACTGTGGGGGTCGGGCCTCAGAACAGGGCAGGGAGCTCACGTGGGCCCGGCTGTGGCTCTCCAGCAGCCCGGGCAGCAGGGGCAGCAGCAGAGTGAAGGCCAGGAGGTCCAGCAGGAGGCCAAGGAAGACCACTGTGATCACGCGAGTCTCGGACCCAGGCTGCTGGCGGATTGGTGGGCGCGGAGTACAGCTTCCACCGGCTCCCCAGCCCATGGTGTTGGGGGCACTCCAATCCGGCCTGGCTGGGGGTGTGGCGGGTCTGCAGGAGGGCACCTCTGGGTACCCCAGCCCCAGACACCTGCTCTACCACGGGGGAAACGGAGTCCGCCTGCTCCCGTCACGCCCCGGACCCACCAAAAGCCAGGGAGCACGGACTGAGGAAAGCCTGCCCCAACCCGTCCCCCCCGACCCTGGACAGCAGGAGAGAAGGGTTACGCAAGGAAACCGCAGCCACAAAGGCCAACCGTCCCAGGACAAGGGTGGGGGCACCCCGACCACAGGCGCCACCCCGCCCCGCGCAGCCGCCCACATCCTCCCGTGGAGCGGGCAGGGAAACTGAGGCCCGGTGGAAGGCAGGACATTGCGGCCCCGACAGACGTGAGGTGGTCCCGCCCCGCAGAACACGACCCCCGCCTCCCCTACCCCCACCCTGGGTTCAGCTCCTGGGACTCAGGGGACCCCGCCCATACCTGCTGCGGCCCCGCGCTCGGTACAGTCTGACTGAGGGACTTGGAGATGGACAGAGGGATGCGGAAAGGCAAGCCAGACACGCTGCCGGGGCGGGGCGGCCGCTCAGGCCACACCCACTTCCCCGCCCCGCCCCCGGAAGTGGACCGTCGCGCTCAGGCTTCCGGCCGGCTGGGTCCCGGGTGGACCCTCGTCCCCGGTGTGGGCATCTGGGTTGCTGGGCGTAGGGCGCGCTCTGCTGCGGCGGCGATCCCTGACCCCGCCAACCCTTGGCCGCGGGCTGTTCCTGCAGGGCCGGAGCGTGGTCGCGGCCCGAAAACTTATGCGGTGGTGCTGGATCGCAGCCGCGGGCGCCACAGTCCCATGTGCCCGCCCTCTGCCCGAGAGGTGAAGCTCCTCCCTCCCAGTGAGAGCCCTGGGCTCTAGGTCTTCTACCCTGCAGGACTGCAGGGTGTCGTCCAGCCTCCCTGGAACTTCCCCTACCCCCGTGGGCTCCACGCCACACGTGCCTCCTTGGACAGTTTCTTCTGCCTGTGGTGCTGAGCGCGAAGTCCCAGGACAGGCAGGTGAGGAGAGAGGGGCGTGATGTCAGGAGAGAATAGATGGGTGAAGGCAGCAGATGCCGGCGGGCCTCCCGGGATCCAGAAGGAGCAGCTGAAGCTCCCCTGGGGCGGCCTCCCACCTCCCACCTAACACCTAGCCTCGGGCCTGAGGGGGAGACTCCAGGGCAGCTGGAGGAGACCTGGGCACCAGCACCTGGTCAGCTCTGCCCCCAGGGTCCCTCCATCTTATCTGATTCATATCACTCCGACCAACCCTGACCGCAAGTGTGGAGGGGACTCTAGTACACCTTCCAAGTCCACCCCTTGTCAATTTGGCACCCACACCCTTCTGTATTCTAAACTTCCAAATACCAACAGTAGCAGTTACACATACACCAGATACCTACAACCCCCGTGAACACCTGTTAGCTTTCCCAGACTCCTGTGCAGCTAGAGCTAAGCCTGCAGCTGCCTCCCTAAAGCCAGGCGCCTGCCGACCAAGGCTTTTACATTCCTGTCTGTTCCGGGTCCCCTATTGTCCAGTCTTCCCACGGAGCCATGCCCCCTTCTGTAGCTGTAACCTGCACACTGAAGATGGAAGGTCAACTACCACTTCTTGCACCAGGTGTAGAGGAGTAGCTGAGGAAGTGTTGGATAAAATATGCAAATGTATTCCTATTGACATGCCAAGAACTGGCGCCCTCTGGGCCTTCACTTCTAGCAGCCCGCAGCCCCTTTGGCATCCAGCGCACGGCCCGCTGACCATCCTGAGGCTCGTGGTTACACAGCCTGAGTGCCGCCGTCCGGCCGCAGCAGAGTCCAGGGGTCCCGAAGGTGGGTAAGGCATCAGCGATAGGTAACAGACGACATCACGCCTCAAAGGACAGCGAAGCTCTGTTCCATTTATTGCAAGTACAAGCATGTTTTTATATTTTCATTTTTGGTAGTGGTTAATGTTTGCAGTGTAGCATGATCAGTTAAGCAAAAAAAATCAATACAAAGGTAACCAGGAAAAGTATGAAAGTTCCCATAGATTCAGTTCTAATAAAGATTATTTTGACCAGGAGAGCCATTAACCAGACAATTAGAAATAGCTGTATGTACAGAATTTGAATGTCAAGTGTATATTAAAATTTCTCAGAATTTGTCATGGGGCCAAAGGATACACTAGGTTGAGTAGAGGTAATAGGAAATCTATTATAAGGCCTTTGTGATGTCTAACTTAGTTATCTAGCCTTTTCTGTCTAAAATGTTTCTCTGTGTACTGTAAACTCTGACTCTTTAGTACTAGCCAGCTTTTGTTATTTCTTTGCCTAATTGATATATATTCTTATTCAAGGTAAAGGAGGGGCTGTTACTTCAACAACTTCTAAACATTTAGGGACTATTTCATTAGAGGGAACTTTGTTCTCTGGTCAAGAAATTATTTTGTACAACTTCATAGGAATTGTGCAAATCAATGAACCTGAAATACAGGTGTCTAACAATCCCACCACCTTCTGATCACCCAAACAAACATGTAAGGAGAGACAGACAGGAAATGCAGCCACAGTTGCCTCTGCCTTGCAGCTGCATCTCAACCGTCCCGACAGTATCCCTGGGCTGTGGGTCGGGGTCTATATAGTTTCTACTCGTCTTCTTGGAAGACCCTTTGTATCTGTGGGTGAGGAACAGTCGTGGGAAAGTCTTTCTGATCTGTTCTTTCCTCAACTGTTGGCAGCACAACCTGTGTTTGCAATGAAAACCTGGTTCTTTATTAACTGGCCTTAACTGTTGACTTAAGAGATCTAATTTGTTTTTCTTATTTCTGGTACACCATGGCGGTCCTGATCACTTTAAGTTGCTCAAACCAGGGTCATTTATACAACTTGACATGTTTTCCCTTACGGTTACAATTATATCGCCCTGGCTGTCGTACTCCCCTGTTACAAGGGAGAGGGGAGTCTGTGGGGATTTTTCCACCCTTTCAGGCAGTTCCGTGGGGAATACTAATGTTTTCCCCTGAACTGTTCCCTCCTCTTGGGTGATTTTCACAGGAATAAGTAAGTACAGTACAATGTCCATACTCAGTAGCAAGAGTAAAATAATTAAAAGAGCCAATTGTTAACCCATTTTGGATGCCATGTTCTCTTCCGGGGAGACGAATTCCTTGAACTTGAATCCTCCATGCCCGGACCTTGTCGGACAACATGGTTGGAAGAGGATGTGGCACCTGAGACTTTAACCATAACCTCCACGGCTTCCAGCTCATTCTGACCCCAAACTTAAGCCTCCTGGTCAGGGCAGATGCAGCTGAAGCTCCCCCCACGCCCGTTCCACAGCGGCCTAGCTCAGAACCAAGACCTCGCCCCGAAAGCATCAGATAAGGCTGAATTAGGGGAGTCCAATCAGGGCTGTTGGCATGTGGGGGTCATTACAGGTGACTGTCCTGCTTTGATCTCTAAATTGTTCGCAAACTTGTTTACTTTATAATTGCAAACATAATTTATAATGAAGTAACACTGCATTCTATACACAGAGGCAGATATCCTTGGCTGACTAAAAACAACATGAGCCAGAAAGCCCAGCCACAGACCCTGTGGTCGGCCCAGGCCAGTTGAGCTCTGTGGGCCAAGCCGAGCACATTTCACTGGATGTTTTAACGGGGGGAACCACGCCGCTGGTCCAACATCTTGACTTTCAATATACAGCGTCTCTTTCAATTTATTTTTTGAACTTTTTCCTCTTCAGAGCCTTCCATTCACCTTCCTGCTCAGCCAGGTTGTTGAAAAGCTGCTTCACTTTGCGCTTCCTTTCTGCATCCCTGAAACAGGAAAAAGAGCCACTTTTGTATGGTTTTGGAGAACGTATGTGCAGAGGGAGGACGAGCGGGGGCATCACCTGCCAGGCGCCCGGCCCAGGCCCACACAGGAGCAGCGCGCGGCCGCCCGCATCCCCAGGACCTCACCGCTCCATGATCTCCGAGAGCTGCATCCGGGCCAGGAACTGGTTGTCCTTGCGGATCTCCCTCACGGCGCCCTTGAACTCGCGCCTGTGCTTGTGGACCAGCCTCTTCCGCTCCTGCTCCTCCTTGCTGCTGCCCTGCTTCTTGCCAAACTCGAGCCTAAAAGCAGGGTGCCAGCACCGAGGAGGCCAGCCGAGTTAGCCCCCCAACGCTGCAGGTGGGCCCACGCCCTAACCGGGGCCCCTGTGAGACCCTGGGGGGCGGCTGTGCTCACACTTTGACCAGCCTCGGGGTGAACAGCTTCAGCGGCACCGGCTTGCTCTTCTCACAGATCAGGGGCTGGTAGCACCCGCCCTGGGCCTCCATGTCGGCCAGCGTGCTCCGACACAGCTCCTGGAAGAGGGAGGCGCGGCGCTGAACGGGAGAAGGCGGCGGGGGTGTGGACCTGGCTCCCTTCACGCCCCTTAGTCCTGTCGCCTCAAGGGCTGAACAGAGGGGTGGGGTCCACGGGACCTGTGCTCACAGCAGAACAGGCCGGCAGGACGGGAGCTGCACCGTTGGTGGCGGGGTGGGTGCTTGTGACCCGGCAGGCCCGTTCTTTCCCCACACGGTGCCCCCTGCGGGGCAGGGCTGCAGGTCACTGTCTGAGGCCAGTGCAGAGGACGCTGGGTGCGGGCACTTAGTGAGGGCGGCCTGTGCAGCCAGTGCCTGGCAGACACGATGCTGCTTCTTGCCCAGAGGAGCCACCCCTCTCACAGAGGCTCTGGGTGCAGGGGAGCCGCCCGGGCCGCATGGCCCACCCGTCTCTGGTCTGACCCCACTCTCCTGGCAGAAAGAACTGCTGGTTAAGGCATTTTCATCATAGCCTTGCCTCCCGAGATCATTGGCTGAGGGTTCTGAGGAACTTTCTAGAAGCCAGCCCCCTGATGTTGGTTCCTTTCCTCTCCCCTTGCACAGGTGTGTCTCGGAACTCAGGGTTTCTGCACCGGGGGCACAGCCGCCCCCCTGCCCGTCTGGAGGCTTACCTCTGAAGGCCAGGTGCCCCGGCCCCACGGGGCCGATGTGTAAGGTACAACCAGCTCAGTTCACCCCGAGTCTGTGAACCCCCACGGCCCCCGGGCCAGCCTGCACCCCACATGGGTGGGGAGCCACTCTTCCCTTTAAACTGAGGGACGAGCCCCAGCACATCCCCAGGATGTGCAGGTGGACGCAGGTGTCACGCCCCAGCCATCCGGGAGATGGCATGAGGGCCTTACGGGCCCATGTCCTGGGGGCAGACTCGACAGTCTGTGGCTGGGGTGGCCGTGCCCAGTGGAAGAGGCTCGAGAAGTGAGGGCGAGCCCGGGGCTCGAGGGCGAGCGGCTCAGGTGGAGGGAGGGCCGTGTGCAGACCCTGAGCCAAGTCCGAGTGTAGGAGGGAGGCAGGCTGCCACCAGCGAGCACGTCCCTACAGGACCGCAGGGCCGGCGTGGGGCAGAGGAAGGTGCAGCTCAGGTCTGCGGCAGCCGGACAGTGTCCGAGATGCTTGCTGGACACACGTGGGGCTTCCAGGTCACACAGGGCTCCCACCCAGCTTGTCACCTTGTGCGACAGTGGACTGTGTGCCCAGGCCCCAGAGGTCAGTGGGCACGCAGAAGGGGACACACAGGTTGCAAGGGGACCCCCCAGGTCCGGACCCCGTCCTGCAGCAGTCACTTCTCGCAGTCCATGTCACTGACCTTCTCATCCCAGTTTCTCATTTGCAAAGCCGTGTCCTTGTGGTTTGTAGGCTGCAGCCCCAAGGACAAAACTGCCCGTCAACCTGCCCCCCAACACAGAAGCGGGGGCCTGGGTTGAGTGCCCTCACCTGCAGCTCCGGCGGGTGGCGGCGGTGGGCCAGGTGCTGCGTCAGGAGGGCCCTGAGCGGCCTTGCGATCTCGTGGAAGGCGGGCAGCGTGCTGTAGAGGCGCACACAGCGCTTCACCAGAGCCAGACACACGGCCAGGCAGGACAGCCTGCGGGCGAACACAGCAGTCTGACCCACCCCACGGACCCCAGCTGCAGCCCGTGGCGCCGTGGGACGCGGCCCATCTCCCGGAACGGGGCTGCCGCGGGGGCTCAGGGACGGCTCCCGAGGCGGCGCCTCCCGTGGTTTTCCAGTTGCCGTGCGAAATCGGCGGGTGCGATTTGAAAGTGATGCCCACAGAGGGAAAGTCGTTTTGTTCTCCCACGGAAACAATGGCCTCCAGGGCTTGACGTTTTTCTGAAGACCCGCGACGGCGCGTGAAGGCGCTCACCGTCACCGATCATGGGGGACGCAGATCAAAACCACAAGAAGCTACCGCCTCACGCCTGTCGGGACAGCTGCTGTGGACACGCTCAAAAAGAGACCACACGGCGAGGACATGGAGAGAGGGGACCCTCGTGCACGGCTGTCAGTGGGAACGCGGACGGGCACAGCCACCGCGGAGAACAGTGCAGAGGGTCCTCAGAACGTTTCTGCCTCATGACCCAGCGGCCCCACTTCTGGGAACATCCCCAAAAGAAATGAAAGCAAGGGCTCAAAGAGATACACCCATGCTCACAGCGGCAGTGTTCACAGAAGCCACAGGGTGGGAGCAACCCGAGTGTCCATCGACAGGTGAATGGTAAACGCAATGAGGTGAAGCCCTGTTGAGCCTTAGAAAGCGGGGAGACCCGACCCCCGTGCAATCCGGGCAAACCCGGAGGACACGAGGGAGCGAGGCGGGCCGGCCTCGCGGAGCAGACACAAGACTCCAGTGACGGGAGGGCCTGGCCCGGGTGCCAGACGCCGAGAGCGGGTGGGGTCGCTGGGGCGGGGCGGGAGGGAGCGTTCAGGGGACGGAGTGTCCGTGTGGGGAGGTGGGAAGGTCCTAGAGCAAGGAGATGGTGGTGATGCCACTGAACTGGACACACAAAAATGGGTATGGCGGTAAATTTTATGTATATTTAACCAAAATAAAGACTTTTTCAAGAAAAAAGTTTCAGCCCTGACTGGTGTGGCTCAGTGGGTTGGGGTTCACTCTGCAGGTCAGGAGGTCACCAGTTCGATTCCCAGTCAGGGCACATGCCTGGGTTGTGGGCCGGGTCCCCAGTCAGGGTGTTCAAGAGGCAACTGATCGATGTTTTCTCTCCCTCTCTTCCCCTCCAAAGACAGATAAAATCTTTTTTTTTTTTTAATTTTATTTATTTATCTTTAGAGGGGAAGGGAAGGAGAGAGGGAGAGAAACATCAATGTATGGTTGCCTTTTGTGCGTCCCCTGCTGGGAACTGGCCTGTAGGGAACTGGCCTGCAACCCAGGCATGTGCCCTGACTGGGAATCGAACTGTGATTGTCTGGTTCGCAGGCCTGTGCTCAATCCACTGAGCTACACTAGCCAGGGCTAGATAAAATCTTTTAAAAATATAGTTTCAAATACTCTAGAACTTAAAAATCAAAGACTAGAAGGACTTACAACCAAAGTCCAGCCCTTCCCTCCGCCTACTGCAAACCGAGTGCCTGAGCACACAGAACAGCGGTGTGGACACCGAGCCCGGACGTGGCGTCTCTGGAGGTGACTCCGCCCCCCAGGCCACGGGTGTGGTGCCCTCGTCTCTGGGTTCCTCCAGCTGTGCCTCTTCACTTCCACCGTACACACCCCCCACCTTTGTTAATCCCCAAGTACCGTCCTCTGCGCCCCCCACCGCCGCCACCGCACCCTCCTGTCTGCACTGTGCGCTGCCAGCCCAGAGGCAGCGGTTTTGGGGGCAGACTGTGACCTGCCACTTTGCTGGGTTCAGTTCTCAGGGCAAACAGCTTTGCAGTGGACTTTCTAGGGCTTTGTGACCGTAAGGTCCTATCGCCCGCAAACAGACGCCTCGGGGCGCCCTGGAGAGCTGGCCTGGGGCGTCCGGCTCCGCGGGGCCCACACGCACCTGGTGTGGTTGGCTTCTGTCCCTGTCTGGGCCGTCTGTCCGCTTGCCCAGCGGAGGGACAGACTCCTCCTCTGCCACGTGGCCGTGTCTTCTTCGCTGGACACCAGGAGCAGCTCCGAGTTCCTCCCCAGTGGTCTGAAGGGGTGCACCAGCGTGTAACCTGGATTGCAAGCAGGGGAGGAACAGAGGCCTGAGTGCCACCAGGCTCGTGGGGGGGGGGCAGAGAGGGAGGTCCCCAGCAGGCTCACTCTCGCCGGTGCGCCGGTTCTTGGCACCCAGTCCAGGCGGCAGCCCCGCTGAGGCCATGTCTGTGCCCCTGGGGGGAGGCTGGCTTTGTAGAACACCCTGGACGTGGATGAGCTGGGCAGAGGCCAGCAGACGGGGAGGGGCGGGGGGCAGGACCTCACCCTGTCACCAGAAGAGCAGCCTGCAGGGAGGGCACGGAGGAGCAGGAGGGGGCCGACAGCAGGCCCCCACCCTCTGCCCTGACCACAGCCACCACGCACACCGCTTCCCCCGGGGTGTGACCGCGCTTGTCCCGGCCCCTCCACGCGGCACAGGGCGCAGAAGGCACAGGGTCCGTGCACGGTCAGCAGCAGGCCACAGCCATCGGGGGTCTGTGACACCCAGTGTGCCATGGCGCAGGCCCACACGCGTGGCCTCTGGTGTCCCACTGCCTCGGGGAGGGGGGGGCTGCGTGCACGTCCACACGCAGGAGGGGGAGGACGACACTGGACGGGAGGACTTCGGGGGTGCGTCTCCTGTCACTGCCCACACTTTGCACAAGGAGGATGGATGGCCTTTAGAAGCCCTCACAACAATTCCCAGGTGCCGCGGACCTGAGAAAGCCCCTCGGATCAACTCACCCTGGCCCGGCTTGTTTGGAGTTGCCATGTACAGAATCCCCAGGAGGAAGTTAATCAGCTCGGGGACCAGTCGCTGGGACAGGGCCACGTAGTCCAGGAACGTGCAGCACACGAACAGGCCCTTCACGGCGTCGTGCAGGGACAGGACGGGGCACTGGCAACAGGACAGGGCCCGTGACAGGTGCCAGGCAGACTGCCGCCCCCAGGGGAGCTGGGGCCCTCCCCCTCCCAGTGGCGCAGGGTCAGCCCAGGTTCCGGCAAAGAGCGCTGGCCATCTCGGTCCGCCATGACCACGAGGGGCCCAGCCCCAGGCCCGATCAAGGGAAAAGGGACTTTGTTAAGCCAAAGGGGACCAGAACCCCTATCAGACTTGATGCTCTCTCTTCTAAGGCTGCTTTCTGGGGTCACACCCTGCGCCACCTCCAGTTGCTAAATTAAACCCCCACCCCGTGTGGGGTTGCTGAAGCCGGAGGGGGGGCGCTGTGGGGAAGCTGGGGCTGTTGCTGACCTCAGAGCTCCCAGGCTGTCCCCACGGACCCTCCAAGGAGCTTTTCCCCCCAACCCTGCCAGTCGTGTCCACAGCCCTGAGCCGGCCGAGGGCTCAGACGGCGCAGCCTGCCCGTCCGCCTGCAGGACGCACCTTCGTGAGCAGCTGGCTCATGCACACCAGGGCCGGCGTCACCACGGGGTGCCAGAAGTCCGAGGTCGGAAACAGCATCCCAGCGACTTTCAGATAAACAAGCTGGAAAGACAGTGGAACCGCACGGATTGAAGAAGGAAAGATGGGGTTAAACGCTGCCTAGAAACGAGCCCGGGAGGACGAGGTTTGGAAACCTGATGAGACCCAGAGGTGCCCTCGGGACACTGCACCGTGCTGAGGCCGCAGGCCAGGGTGGGGCCCGTGGTCACTGTCACCCACCGCATACCCAGCGGGCTCTCCCAGACGTGCAGGCTTCTCTAGTGGCCGGTGAGTGGGGACGGGAGGAGGCTGCACTCTCCTGGGAGCCCAGAGGCGTTTGGGGCCCTGGCCCCAACAGCCAGGCCAGTGTCAAGCCCCCAGGCTGGGTGGCACGGAGGTCACTAGCCCCGCCCCTCTGCCTCAGCTCAGGAAGGTGTAGCTGAGGCTTTGGGGGGGGTCCACTGCGCTCGTCCTGCTCGGAGCTGTAAGCTCTGAGAGTGGACAGCCCCCTTCTGTGACAGCCTCAGGACGCAGACTGGGCAAAGGGATGAGCCCAGGTGCCTGCCTGGCCGGTGCAGCCAACCGGGCGGACTGAGGATCGGAGACCGGGGCTGCAGGAGCCACACACTCGCACCGGCCTGCTCATCGTGGGACGCGCAGCCGCGGTGCTGACAGCAGCCAGCTGCCGAAGGTGGTATTTCTTGGGAGCTCCCAGGGTCTAATTTCACCTCAGGTACTAACGCAGGTGCAGTGAGGCTGGAGACGTGTCAGAGTGGGGGGTGGGGAGACAGGGTGGGGGCAGCGTGAACGATCTGGAGGCAGGCTGGGTCTGGACCAGGCTTGGAGCCTGAAGACCAGGCGCTGGCCCGCCTGCCACGTCCCAAGGAGCTGGGGGCCTGCAGCGTGCGGGGCCCAAGGACACAAGTGTGGCTGTTCGGTCTTAGGTGGCGGTGCAGGCGTTCTCACCTCTAGGGACCACCTCGGGCCAGGCACCAGGCAGACAGGCGTGGGGTCTGTCCGCCCACGTGCAGGCGAGGGGAGAGGCCAGGCCCCACCGACGGGTGGGAGGCCCCGGGACTGAAGCAGCAGCGGCGGAGTCTGCGGAGCCCATTCGACCCACCAATACGGGCCCGTATTTTAAGTTTCTGACCATTTTAATAGTTTGTGTATTTCAACCCAAAGACTAGAAAAATGGAGTAACCAAGCAAAGGTTTCCAAAACTCACCCGAGCTGACACACCCGCCCACAGCCGACACGGGACTGTTCCAACGACTCTCAGGGACCCAGCAGACAGCAGAGCGCGCTCAGCCCGCCCTCGGCCTTGGTCCCCAGGTCAGCCCGCGCCTCCCCTTTGCCTCAGAGCCCCTGGGCCGTGAAGAGCGAGCCCCTCCCCGTCTCCAGGCCGACGCCCTGCCGCCCTGCCCGCGGCCGAGCTAGCCTGGCCTGCAGGGCTGGGGGCCCAGGGCCTGTGGGGCGGTGCCCGGCAGCTTACCACCTCCAGCCCCGGAAACGCGGCCCGGCCCTTCGCCTCGATCGCCCCCTCCATCTCGTGCATGGCGTCTCGGAGGACGAACCTGACGGACTCGCTGGCAGAGTCGGGAAACATCTGGCAGAGACCAAACAGCTGCCTGCACGGCAGAGACACCAGTCAGCGGGGAGCCAACCCAGGCGGGAGGCACAGGACCCCGACCTGCCACGGGGCCATTCCTGTGACGCCGCCTGCCGGCCCACGCCCTCTGACCCCTGCCTGGCTTCCTGCTGAGCCAGGTGACCTCCACTCGAGTGCTTCAGGTTCCCTCATACTACCTGCACTCGGTGCGCAGAGTGGGGAGCCCCTGCCTGTGCCGACCGGGCGGGGCTCCCCCAGGAACTCGCAGCTCCTCACGAGCACGTCAGAAATGGCAGAGGCCACTGGGTCCTGCGCCCTCACTGACCTCCCACTGCAGGGGCCCCCTGTCCCTGCGGGGCCGGTGGCCACCTCATGGGGCTCTGCTTTCCTTGGGTTTTCTGTGCACTGAGTCGAAAACTGGCCATCACCCCTGGGCAGGGCAGGGCCAGGCGGACAAGAGGGACGAGCTTGCCGAGGAGCCCTGGGTCTCCTGCGCCCGCTGGGGGCCATGGAGCCTGGGAGGTGGGGTGACGTGGGGATGCTGTGGCCCGCCATGTGCTCCACCCCCCCCTTAAACAGAGGTCAACACGTTGTGGGTAAAGGGAACAGCCAACCAGCCATCAAACCCACACCCAAGCCTGAAGGGGTTGGCTGCCCGAGAGCCGCTCTGTTCCCCACGAGAGACGCATCCCACCTCCAGGGGACAGCGGCGCCAGGCTGCGCGGGCCGTGCCTGCGAGGCCCGTCTGCCGGGCCAACCTTCAGAGCCCTGGCGTGGACCCTGCTGACTGCACAGGGGGGACGTGCTGGGCCCGAGCCCCCGCCCCAGCCCCACTCACCCAACCAGCTTATCGACCACAACGAGGTCCGGAGGGTCGTCTGCAGCCAAGTCGCCCACGTGCTCCAAGAGGAAGCCGAACAGCCTCTGGGGGAAGACAGGGGGGCAGCTGAGGGCCGACCCCGGAACGACCCACAGGCAGACACAGACGCGCGCGGACCCCTACATGGGCCGACCTGGGGGCAGGGGGGGTTCGGCTCCGGGGGAGCAGGTCCGAGAGCTCGGCATGGAGCCCACCGCCCCATCGGGTGATGGTGGCTCCCCTGACCGGACAGAGGAGCGTGGCCGACGTCCCCGCTGGCCCGGCCTGGCCATGCAGGGGCCGCAGGAGGCCGACTCTCGGGGACACGGGGACACCGGTGTGGCCTCTCCCGCCTGCTGGGGGCCTCAGAGGGACCCGTGCCCGGCCCTCCGCCCCGGCACGGAACCTTCACCCGGCTCACCTCTAGTTTTGCCTTGTTTCCCTCGGCGAGACTGGGATGGTGGCATTTCCGGATTCGCTCCACCACCAAGATCTGCTGCTCCGCTGACTTCCCTGACAGCAAAGACTTCAGGTCCTGGGAGGACTCGGGAGCTACGGGCACACAGACACCCCGCACTCAGCCGCTCGGAGCAAGCGCCACTCCCGGCTCTCCTGAGAGGCGGGAAGGGGCCCACGGAAGCTGGCTCGTAGTGACCAGCACGAGCTGGTCACACGCTGAGGACAGCGGCCTGCAGCCTGCGCGGAGTCTGCCTAAATGCCAACACGCCAAGAACAGGCGGCTGAGCCGCTGGGAGGAGCCGCATGCGGGGGGCTGCTTCCACGGGGGCCTGCCTCACCCGGAAGTGCACCGTCTCTGGAGATAAGGGGTCACAGGACACAGGGGACTCCTGACCAGAACCGCGCGACTTTCCCTGTGTCACATAGAGAATGTTCTAGGCTCCGTCTGAGCGGTGGCCCAAGTCTCAGCACAGGCAGCCCCTCCCTGGCCCCCAGGCCCGGCCCTGGGCCTCCCTGCAGCACGGAGACCACTGTACAGGAAGGTGTGTGTCTGCCCTCAGCCTGTCTGTGCTCAAGTGACAAGGGCCACCACCACCCTGCCAGAGCCTGCGCCCAGCCCTGGGGCGGCACCAGGAGGCGTGGAGGAAGAACGCTGTGCCGACCAGCAGCCACAGCCTCAGACGCCCAAGCCCACGTGTCCAAAGGGGCCCCCGGGCTCCCGCGCCATGTGCAGCCCCAGTGAGGCCCACCGGCTGCCAGGAAAACCCGACAGCTGGTCACCTTCAAACGTGTAGGGCAGCTCGGCCCTGGCAGCGTCCCGCGCTTCCCGACCGCCGCCTGCAGCCCGGTCCCTGGGCGTCTGCCGCTGCTCCCGCTCTGGCCGCCTGCTGTCCCCATCCTCGCTCTCCTCGTCACACTCCAGGTCTGAGTGGCTGTCTGAGCCGCTGCTGTCCTCTGCATCCTCCTCGCTTGGCTCCTCCCCCTGCTCCTCCTCTGCATTCACTCCATCGCTGGCTTCCCCACTGAGCTCCCCCTGGACGTCCATCCTTCCGTCCTAGGACAGGACACGGAGACCACGATGGGAGGGCCCCAGGGACGTGTCTGGTGCGTTCGCAAGGAGGACACACCCTCTGCTGCGTTTGCCCGTGGGCCCCGGGCCTCCCTGCCCCCTGCTCTGGTGTGAGCCCGGTCGAGGGCACCAGGATTCTGGGCTCTGGCAGCTGTGGGGTCTGCAGCAGCTGACTGCCGGCTCTGAGCTGGGGGTAGTTGGCTCAGCAGGGGCTTCCTGGGACTCAGGCAGCACCTGGCGTGGCAGGACCGGGCCCCCCAGATCTCCCCGTGTTTGGTGAGCACCCAGCTCCCTGCCTCAGGCCCCTCTGAGCTTGGGACACCTGCCTGCCCAGCTCCCCAGCTGAGACACTTCTGTGTCCACTCTTAGGGGACACAGGTGTGGACCTCATGGGGTTCACGGGTAAACACGGCAGTGCTAACAATGTCATTGCTTTCCTGAAAAGTGTTTGGAGCAGCAGCCTTGGGTGTATGTCCTCATGTGAACGCAGGTTCAAGAAGGTGATCAAACGCTTGGTTGCAACCAGGTGACAGCAGTCCCACCAGGGGCGGTGACGACGCCCTCGCCCACCCGTCTCGGCCCGAGCACTGCTCACACCCAAGTGCGGAGCTGCGGGAACCACTGGAGAGGTTCACCCGTTCTGCCCGTGAAGTGCCCCGAAACAGGCTCCGCTGCGTGGAGACAGGAAGGGAGGGTGGGTGTCTCACCCTGTAGGAGAGCAGGCGCCTGTCGTCCCTGTCCAGCACGAAGCCGTCCTGCAGGTCGTCTGCGGACACGTGTGTGGGCCTCTTCTCGTCCGCGCCCTGTCCCAGCATCCTCTGCACTCGCTCCGCCTGAGCGGGGAGACAGGTCACGTGTGCAGCCCGGCGGGGACCGACGGGGAGGGGTGCTGGCTCAACTGTTCTGCTTTTATAACTAGAAAACCTTGTAGTAAGATACACATAAACTTTAAATATCCCAAAACGAGTCTGCTGTTAAAACAGACTCCCTCGTCCCACCTCACGGAACAAAGCAGAAACTCCTGGAATGCAGGTCACAGCAACCGCCCCGATGGCTGGGGCCAGGGCCCCGCCCCCACCCCCCTACCTCCAGGCGCTTGAGCCGAGCCTGCTCCTCCTTTGCCAGCTCCTCTTCCGTCTTCATCCTGTTCGACGGCTGTGCCTTCATCTCGAAGCCCAGCTCACGGACCATCACGTCGTACGCGTCAGGCTGGGGCAGAAAGGGGGGCTTTCGCTCTCACTCTGTTGTGTTCACAAGACCAGACCAGCCGGGCCGCCTCTCGGCTGGAGCGGGGCCACGTCTGGGTCTCCTCCTGCTCACAGGAGGCGTCCTCGTCAGCCTGGGCGACACCTTCTGGTCGGACGGGACTTTTCGCTTCTGGCAAGTTTTCCTCAAAACACACCTGCTTCAATGAAGCTGGATGTCGTTTATGCCGGGGTGAGGCCCCACAGAGAGCTGGGGTGATGGCCACGGCAGAGTGACCCCCAAAGACGCCTGACGGCAGGACCAGGTGACTGGTTGGGGCCAAGCTGTCCCCAGACAGCTCCAGACACGTGCGGCTGTGCCGGCAGCTCACACAGGGACTGCACTATGGGCCAGGCACTCCTTGCAGGAAAAATGAGTAGACATCTACATTCAAACAGCGTCTGATGATTGCCCACCCAAGTAACCTTTATTTAGCTGTTTTTGAGCAGGTACTGAAGTAACTGTAGCCTGTTTCCATCCTGATGTCACACACGTCAGGTAACCTGACAAAACCCTGATACGGACGCAGGCGCTAACGGAAACCGGGACCAGGACACCCGGCCACCATCACTTCTGCCGGGGAAGGTCAAGGCAGCCAGGCCTTGGCCCCCCCCCCCCCGCAGTTCCTACCTGGGGTCTCTCCGGTCTGTCTCCGTCCTGCGGCGGCTGAGCCCTGCGAGCCAGGAGGGCCTGCACCTCTCTCCAGTCCCGGTCCAGCTGCTCCGTGAGCTCCAACGTGCCTTCCCGCAGCGCCTGCCTCTCCCGCTGGGAAGCACAGCAGATGGAGCCCCCGTCAGCCCGCGCTGCCAAGTCAGCAGCAGGAAGGGACCTCGGGGTCGGTCCCTCCCACGCAACACTGCGCGGCCCATCGGACGGCACTGGTTTCCTGCTATAAAGCACTCACTGCTGATAAAGAGCAGTGACGTTCCGCAAATCGTGCTACACACCAAAATTCTAAAACCAACCAACCAACAAAACCGCCCAAACCACGGCAAGCCGCAGCAGGGAACACACTGAATGCTTTTACTAAATTCACAGACGGCAGCAAAGACAGCCTAGAAAGGAATAGAGCCCCAGAGCCCCCTGTGAGCGAGCTGCGGCCAGCTGAGGCCAGAGCGTGGCCAGCGCACCTTCTCCTGTTTCGACTTCGTGATGAGCTCCTCGATCAGCTCTTTGCGGGACCGGGGTCTCTCGCCCTCCTGGTCGGGCTGCTGCGAGGTCTTCCGGAGCCCTCCACCTCCGAAGTGGGCTGCCGTCAGCTCAGCTGCAGACAGAAACCAGTACACGGCCGTGAGCGTGGGCACGCATGGTGCCAGGGACAGGCCCCACGGCCAGGGGACAGTCCTCACACCCACGGCGGGCCCAAGACCCCGGGCACGGTGGCATTAAATACCCAGGATAAGCCGCTCCAGGAAAACCCTGACCCAAGCCACTGGAAACACCACAAAAAGGGGCCTGTTTTTCAACTGCGTTTGATTCTTATGAACGAAATGCAGAAAAACGAGGGGGAGCTGGAGCCCTGGGGTGGGGGGCAGGGTGGGTGCTCAGGGCCATAGACACCCTCCCAGTCTCACACCTCCTATGACGGCCAACGGGACCCACCGTCCCTCGACCGCCGAGGAGCCGGGGCAGAGGACAGAAATAAAACACCGTGGAGCCGTCACACGGGAAGAAACCTTCAAAAACCCTGTTTCTTTACAGGCTGAGAAAACAGGCTCCAACATCAAGCAGTCTGCCCCAAATCTCACAGCGGGAGCAGAGTGTTTCAGGCTGAGCTCCAGCTCCTCCCTCCTTGTCGGCTCCCATCACACTTCCTGGCGGAAGCTGCCACCTGGCTGCTTAAATCAAACCCCACTGCACAGGGGGGCGCAGGGGGAGGAAGGAAATACACCGACCGTCACACTGACTTTCCCCAGACCGCTCTCCCGGACCCGTGTCCCCCCGCAGCGTGCTCGCCGGCCTGGGACCCACAGCAGGACCAGTCCCCGGGCCCCCTGAGCTCCCAGCTGAAGGGAACCAGGGTGACGTCCAGCTAAGACAGGCACAAAAGCCTCTACCTTAACTACCCCCACCTGCACCTGGGGGGTGTCCCAATGAATGGCGTCTCTGGGCCACACTGGGAGAAGGAAAAGTTGTCCTGGGCCACACATTAAATACACTGTGGTGTGTAATCACACACACAAAAAAATCTCATGCCCTGGCTGGCATGGCTCAGTGGCTTGAGTGCCAGCCTGCGAACCAAAGGGCCACCGGTTTGATTTCCAATCAGGGCACATGCCTGGGTTACAGGCCAGGTCCCCAGTAGGTGGTGCTTGAGGGGCAACCATACACTGATGTTTCTTTCCCTCTTTTTCTCTCTCTGTTCCTCTCTCTCTAAAAAGATATAAGTGAATTTTTTTTTAAGTCTCATAACGTTTTAAGTAAATTCACAATTTTGTGTTGGGCCACGTTCACAGCCCTCCGCAGACTGGATACGCTGGAACCCTACCCTTCTTAAAGTGCCAGGATTAGGAAACGAGAAAACCCTGTGACGCAGACTTCGACCCAGCGACACCCGGCAAGGTCTCCAGGACGGGCGGAAGGCCAGTCCCGCGGGGAGCAGAGACGGCCCCTGCTAGCCACCCTCACCCGACAGGGCTCCTCGGTCCTCAGTGTCGCTGTCACTGTCCACAATGTCATGATGCTTTTCTATGTCCGCCAAAGACTGGCCGTAATGAGTCAGTTCTTCATCTTCGTTAAGGTTGTAGATGTTTTTTTTTTCATGTTGTCGCTGACAGGAGACAGAAGAAAATCAGTTTTCTAAGATTTCCACACCCGTCCAACAGCAAAAGGCACTTATTTCCCTGTCACCTGTGCCGTGGGACAGCAAGGCCTGTGCAGCTTTAGGATCACTCAAGGCCACCGGTGTGGTGACTCAGGCACAAACAGGACCGCGAGCGGCCAGCCGGTCGGCCGATGGGTCGGGGTGTGCGGAGGCACGCACCACACGGCCTCCCCTGCCGGTCCAGTGTCCACCCTCCCAGCGGTGCCCACGGAGGGCCGCTTCCCCTGCGGCCTCACTGGGCCGGGACAGGACCTAAGGCCTCCCCCTGCGCCCAGCGGCCACAGGGGCAGAGATGCACGTGCCTGACTTCTGTGTGACGAGGCCCCCGCTGTCCTGTACCTGCTGCTCCAGGGCGAACCTCTGCGCCATCTTCTCCTCGGGGCTGACGCAGCTGCTGTACTCGCCCAGGCGCCGGTCTCTGAACACGTTGGACTTGCCCCTCTCCCTGTACTCCTTCAGCAAAGTCTGGTTCCGCTGAAACACAGGTCCCAGAGCAAGCGATCGTAGGCCCTAGAGGAAAACGCTTCCACGGGGGACACCACGGTTGCTCTGATGGACTGGGAGGTGACATGGCCATCCTGTGCGCCTCCGGCCACTGACACCAACAGTTCAACAAAAGGGCCAACCTAGTGACTGGGAAGATCGACTTCTATCCCGGGGAAACGGGGCCACCACCGCACCAGGGGGCCAGGAGGCCTCGCCTGACCGCAGGGGACCCTCCAGGGCGTGCCCCATGCTAAAGGTTGAAGGGAAGGGGCAGCCAGCAAGCAAGGCACAGAACTGAGCACGCAGAGGTCACCGCACCAGGTGGAGAAGCTGGAGGAGACGGGGCCCCAGCCAAGGGGGAGGGAAATCGGCACAGGGAGCTTGGAGGAAGCCACGCACCGAGCCTGGTGCTGTGACCAGGGACTGCGCCCATCTTTCCTGGTCCCCGACACCTAGGCACTGGGGTTCAAATGCGCTGCCACAGGTGTGGCCCCAACCCCACCAGCTCCACGGCTTCCCACCCAGACTCTGCCCTGGAGGCCTCGCCTGGAAAAGGGAAAAGACGGGGCCCTGACTCGGGCTGCCGTTCAGGGGACCACAGGTTGCCATGAGAGAGGCTGCCTAGTGCAGAGCCAGGGCCCAGGAAGCAGGTCCCCAGCATAGACCCGCTCCTGTCTCTGTGGCCTCAGGCACAAAGCAAGACCATCACTGGGAGGGCTGAACAGAAACTTCCTGACACGACGGCCGTCCCACTGGGCGGCACTGACAGACACGCTGCCCTGCTGTTCCACACCTCACGCTGGGAGGGGGACTGAGGCCCAGCTGCAGGGCAGCAGGGCCTGGCACCGGCTGTCCTCACACGAAGCCTGCTCTTGCTCTCCATTCGAGGGCCACTGTGGACGGGAAGGGACACACGGGACACCCATTCGCTGCCCAGGGACCGGTGTGGACACAAAGGCCTGCACCTCCTTCGCTGGCCCTGCTTGCCTCTCTGCCCAAATTGTGATCTGACCCAACGGGGTGGCCTGCGTCCGTCCCTCCTGACGGCTCAGAGCTCCTGGACCTCCTGCTGCAGGAAACCCTGCACTACCCGGACGACGACTGTGGCTCCTGCAGCTCTGCCTTCCGAGTCCTTCAGCTACTTGCGTGTGTATTGGGGGCCGAGCACTGGGGGCCTTGGCAGGCGGCGGCAGCCCCTCCAGGCCTGCAGCACAGAGCAGGGAGGCGGGTCTGTCTGACACTGGAGGCCTGAGCCCCACCTGTCTGGGTCGTGGGGCTCGGGCTGGCCTCGGGAGGTCTGGGGGATGAGACAGGTCTTTTTGGACAGACTGAGTTGCAGAACAAGGACGGCAGGTTGAGGCCAGATTGTGAAGGTGCCTGAGAACAAACGACAGGCTGAGTGTGAGAACAGCTCGTGTTTGGAGAACACTGTGTGCAGAGTGCACCGTGGTACTTAGCTCTCACACAAGAGAGGAGGTGTGTATTATCATCCCACTTCAGAAACAAGAAAACTGAGGGGCAAGCGGCGAACACAAAAGTGTCTGCTCCACAGCCTGCACTATCCAAGCCTGCCTTGAGGGAAGGTCATTCCAGCCAGTGCAAGTTCAGAAGCATGAAGGTAAACGCGGTCCAAATGACATATGATGAGGGGAACCCCCCCAAAAACGGAATTATCTTCTGGAGGGTGGGCCCCTAGCAGCACAGGCTTCCTCCCTGCATTTGATAAGTGTTCCAGGCGCTGTTCTAAGAACGCTGAAGGAACACATTGGATTCTCTCAAAAGCCCAGGATGTAGCTATTATCATCATCTCCACTTCACAGATGAGGAAACTGAGGCACAGAGAAATAGCCAGCGTCCAAGCCGTCCCAGCAAGCCAGTATGTGTGGCTGAAATACTGACCGTCCGGTTCCCAAGCCTGTGCTGGGCCGGAAGAATATAAAAAATCACGCTGGGTAGTGTGGTGGTCCCGGCCGAGCCGGGGGCAGGGAGGCCAGGCGGGGTGTTAGGGATACAAGGCAGGCGGGTTGTGCCCCCAAATGAACCCCTAGGGTTAGGCGCCATTCCTGACCACACGCGCGGCCCGGGAGGGGACGGCCGCCAGGGATTGGCTCCCCGCTTACCTTCTGGATGGCCCGCGCGCGCGACACCCCAGGCATCCCCACGTCGTGGCGCATCTTCCTGCCCAGAACCTGGAACTTCTGCCTGTTGACTTTCACTTCGAAGGGGTTGAGGTTGGGCTTGGTCCGAGAGACCCGTGCTCCCGCCGGGGTCCCAGGGGGCTTGGTGCGCGCCCCGATCGCCCTGGCCTTCCCCATGGCCTACTCTTGGGGAAGGCACTCGACTCCGTGGCACTGCCTGGGAAGTCCGGAGGAGACGAGGCGACTGCCCTACAGAGTCGGCAGACAGCAGATGCCTCCGGTAAACACGTGCGGAGACCTGGGAACGGTCCTAGCCTTCCTGTCGCGATAACTGAGAGGCAACAAATAGACACATCCGGCTCAGCCCACTCGCCTATCGGCCGAGTGACTACAACTCCCAGAAGGCAACGCTCGTCACACGAGCCACTTCCGCTCTGCGCGGGGCCCTCTGGGAGCTGTAGTGCCCCTCGGAGCTCAGCTGGCTGGTCAGGCGCGGGGCAAGGGGACGCTCGAGTCCGTGCTCTGGAAACCGTTAGCGGGCAACGGGCAGCCGGCCGCGCTGCGCAGCAGCGTCGGCTGCGGCAGCCGTTGCCGCCGGGGGACGGGAGCCTTTCGCTAGCTAGGGTCGGCCTCGGCGGAGACTTCGGGAGCCGGACTCTGAGGACAGTCGCGCGTGCGGAGCGTGGGTGATGTAGCCCTTAGTCTGGGCCGCGGCACGGCAGTGGTGACCGCGAAGAAGCCCGGCGGCAGGCCAGCCAGCGCCCCCCGCCCCGTGCCTGCTAGAGCCCCAGGCCGGCGGCAGCAGCGCGCCCCGCACCGGCAGCGGCGTGGCCAGCGGGCCCAGAGGCGGCGGCACGCGAGGTGGCCGTGGTTGTGGCCGTGGGGGAGGCCACGGCGGTGGCAGCAAAGCCGCTCTCCCGGCCTCAGCCCGCAGACCGGCGTGCAGGTGCCGGCCAGGGAGACGGGCGCAGACGCCGTGCCTCCGGCTCCGCGAGCCCGCGGGGCGCGATGGCGGCGGCGGTCCGGGGAGCTGGAGAACCTGGTGGCCAACGCGCTGCTGCTGAAAGCGCGCCTAGGTGGGTGCACCGCGGGGCCCCGCGTCCCCCGGCTCCGGCCGGCCAGGGCCTGTCCCGGAGGGCCCGCCAGGCCGCGGAGGGCAGCCCGCAGAGCACAGCCTGGCGGTCTTTGAAGGACCGAGAGGAGAGCCCGGTCCCCACGCGTGGCGTGACCGCCCTGAGGGCTTTGGAGCGAGGGTGACTCGGCATGAGAAGTCACTGCTTTTAAAAAAAAAGAAAGATTTTTTGGTAATACTTTTGTGAGCCATTTATGACCTTTAGTGATAAGTTTAAATTGTTTCACATGCGAGGACTCTCGGGAAACTCAAACCCACTCCACCTCGTGGGGAAAGTGACCGCACAGACGCGGAGGGGGGAGTGCGTGGTGGGTTCACCCGATGCGTTCGGTCTGGAGTGTAACAGTCCCATTCTGTGTCCAGGCTGTGGTGTCACGTGGCAGTTTGCTGGAGCATCGTTAAAACCCGTAGTCCTTGATGCTCTCTTGCTGAGCCTCCCCACCCCCCCACCCCCGGCTTTTGGTTGCATGGGGTTCCTCGAAGGAGTTTATAAATCCTCTGGTTCCGGAGGTATGGACAGCAGCCGACGTTTCTGTTTCCTGCACTGCACTTAATTTGCTCCCACTCCCAGGGCTCCTTAGGGCGTTCCGGTTGCGGAAGTGAGCGTCTGCGCCCCTTCGGACGCTCCCCCACGTGCCTTCGTTCAGTTCCGGCCTTCTGTGCAGCAGCCCCTCCTTGCTGCTTTCTCTGGTTCAGTTTTTTCTATTTCCAGTTTACCTTCATCCTCTGCTTTGTAACTTTCTCCCAGCTCAGAGACACACCGCCCTCTGGGAATCTGGAACATGGGGCTCTTCACCCTGTGTGGTCTGTGATTCTTTCTCAGGGTGTAGTGTAACCTGTGTGAGGGCCAGGTGTCATCTTTATCTTTGTTTTATATCCCCTTCAGTGCTACCTCCTTAATTGATACTTGGTAAAGGATTGGAGATTAAGGGGCTACTCTATTTTCTTAAATTCAAGAAAGAGAAGGTTAAATATATACCTCCAAGTGCAAACCCCTTAGTGCATCAGGCCCCATTCACCAGGGTTCAAATCCCAGTCTCTCCTGGCTGTAACTGCTCTGGGCAAATTATGTCCCATAACCGCGCCTTGGTGTTTCCAGCTCTAAATGAGGACTGTAAGGGGACCTTGTCCACCGTGTCTCTTAGGGCCACGGGGAGGGTCTCCCTGGCATAGTGCAAGTGTCGTTTGTGGAAGTAGCTGTTACAATGGGCTATTTCTGACCATGTTAAAAATGCCTCTTTCCCCCTAAATTTAGGAGGATATGACCAAAAAAGTGGGCGCAGTAAAAACTGGAGGGAGCTGCTGAAGCTGCCCCCCGTCAGCCAGTGCGTTGAGCTCAGGCGCTCCATCGGTGAGTACAGCGGCCGCGGCGTCTGCATGCGGCTGTTAGACGCTGCTCTTCCCTGAGTTCCTCGTTCATTTCCCAAATTAGCTAGTGGAGTCTCTGCAGCTTCATGAGTCTTTTCCGGAAAAAGCCCTGTAGCTTTTCTGATCCGAGCTATAAAGTACATGGCTCCAGAAGCGAGGGCTGTTAGCTGTTTCTCAGTCTCCAAGTTACTGACGGGACTTCAGACAGGGTCAGAGAGCAGACGCCTGGCCCCAGCGGGCCTGACCCAGCGGCCTGGGTGTCCTCCAGGGTCATTGGTTGACTCCCTGTCCGGCGGTGGGGTCCCAGCCGGGGCGTGAGAGGCACTGAGTGCCGTGTGCCTGGCACATGGATGTTCCCCTCTCTCTCAAAAAAATTACATATGCATATATCCACCTATCCACCTGTGTGTTTGTGTATATAGATGAATGTATGCACATACTACACACACGCGTGCGGCCGTGGTGCAGGTCCTGACATGAGCACAGGAAGTCAGACAGGGAACCACGTGCGTAGGGCATTCGCAACAGTGTTTTTAAAGGATGTGACTTCCAGGCCTGGCTGCTGCGGCTCAGTGGACTGAGCCCTGGCCTGCAAACCAAGGGGTCACTGGTTCGATTCCCAGTCAGGGTACATGCCTGGGTTACGTACGGGTCAGGTCCCCAGCAGGGGGTCCCACAAGAGAACCACACATTGATGTTTCTCTCCCTCTCTTTCCGCCCCTTTCCCTCTCTCTAAAAATAAATAAAATCATTTAAAAAATAAATAAAAGTTATGACTTCCAGTTCAAAGGATATCTGCATTTAAAACGTTGATGTTGCTAAATTGTCCTCTAAAGATGTTACATCAGTTTGCTTTCTTGCCCACAGTCCTGTGACAAGTCATCTCTGTCTGTGGCCTTGTTAACATCAGTGGTTGTCAGTGGTTTTAATAAAGATAAATAAACTGCAATTTGAAAAATGGTCTCTTGTTTTAATTATGGATGGGGTTGAACATTTTCATCAGTTTTTAAAATTTTTGCCTTTTCTAACTCCAAAAGCTCTTTATATAATTTATCTTTTTATGTGAGTATATTGTGTGTATGTATATATCATTGTGAATATATTTTATATTTGTGGCTTTTGGCATGCAGTATTTTTTCCCAGAGGTTTTAATTTTTCTGTAGATAAATGTATCAATCTTCTCCTTAGTTTCTGAACTTGGTCTTGTACTTAGGGAGAGCACCTAAGATTATTTTTTTTTAAATCAACCCATCTTTTTTTTAGTACCATAACAGTTTCTTTTTAAGAGTGACTATTTTAACTATCAAAATTAATTTCAGTTTAAAGCGCAGGTGGTTCCCCCACCAAAGACCTACCCAGTCGTTTCAACCTTGTTATTTTTTTTAAATTGCAGCTTTATTAAGGTCTAATTAACACGCCATCCACTTTACCTATGTAACATGCACAGTTTGATGGTTTTTAATACAGTCATGGAGCTGTGCAGCCATGGCCACCATCAATTTTACATCGTTGTGGCCTCAGAGAGACCCCACCCCGGCAACCCCGGGTCTGCCCTCGCTCTGGAGCCGCCTTGTCTGGGCGTCTCAGGGGAATGGGACTCGCATGCTGTGTGGTCTTTTAGCACCGGCTCCTTTCATTTAACACAGTGTTTTCAGGGTTCATCTGTGCTGTGGCACGAGTCAGTATTTAATTCACTTCTGTGGGCAAATAGTGGTCCATTGTAAAGGTACATTGCGTTTTAGTTATCCATGCATCCGTGAGAGACACTGAGTTGTTCTCATTTTTTTTTTGTCTGTTGTGACTGATACTGCTGTGGACATCCACGTACAGGATTTTCCCTTGTAGTAAAGTACACATAACAAAAGTTACCATCTTAACCACTTTCCGGTGTGCAGTTCAGTGGCGTTAATTTGGGTATCACTGTATCAGTGTGGATTTTGTTCATCTGTTGATGCAGGGTGGCCTCCACTCTGGGGCTGTTGTGAATAATGCTGCTGGGAACACTGGTGTGCAAGTATTTCAGTCCCTGCTTTTAATTTCTTTAGAGCATGTACTCAGAGTTAAAACTGCCGGATACTGTGGTAATTTTTGTTTAGGTTTTTGAGGAAGTGCCAAATTGTTTTCTACAGTGGCCGCGCCATTTTCCACTCCCACCAGCTGCCCGGTGCCGGTCCGTCCTTCCCAACACACCACACGTCCCTGTTGGTTGTTACCGCGCCCGGCCGTCCCGGGGGTGTGCCACGGCGGCGCGCAGTGCGGGATTCGTGTCCCCCGGCACGCACCGGCCATTTCTATATGTTCTCGGAGAAATGCCTGTTCGAGTCCTTTTTTAAATAAGTGCCTGTTCAAGCCCATTTTTTAAATAAGTTATTTGTCTTTTCACTGGTGCAGAGTAAGTGTTCTTTGTGTGTTCTGGGTGCTGGGCCCTCGTCAGATACTGGATTTCCCGGTATTTTCTCCCAGTCCGTGTTTTCCTTCCACTTCCTTAATGAATGACATCCTTCGAGGAACACATTTTTATTTTGACGAAGTCCAGTTCATCTATTTTTTGTTGTTCTTGTGCTTTTGGTGTCATATCTAAGAAACCATGGCCTAGTCCAAAGTCACAAAGACTTGTCCCCATGCTCTCTGCTAAGTGCTCTCTCCTAAATTTAGGCGTTTGATCAGGTGCAGTTAGCTTTTGGCTGTGGGGTGAGGTAGGGGTTCAGTCTCAGTTCTTTCCCTGGGGAGCTGGTTGTGCCAGCAACACTCGTTGCAACGGCTGTTCTTTCCCCGTTGGGTCTGGACCTTGGTCAGAGTCAACTCCGTTCAGCTTCCTGAGCAGCTGCAGCGTCGGCGTCCCCACCAGCAGCAGGAGACGACCGCCGACCCCCATGTCCTCGCCAGCACTGGCCGTCTTGTTGAGTTGCCTTGTCTGGTGCCAAGGACGGCATGTTGTGTGTGCCTGTGGCCTGGCTTCTCCAGGTCCGTCACTGTCTGCCGCACGGCAGGAGGGGCCTTTGTCCCTGGAAGCCACACGGAGCACGTCCCCCGCCAGTTGGTCCTGTCGGTCCAGGTGTGCGTTGTGATTAAGATACCAAGAACTTTTATTCCAGACTTTGTGCTGTCAGATACACTAGCGGGATTGTAGGACTATATTTTAAAGTACACTTGCATGCAAATTACCTAAGTATATTTCTGAGTCTTTGGGGTAGATTTTTAGTACATAGAATGGAGTACATAGAACTGACTTTCCCATTAGTTAGCTTTTACAAATCCATACTTTTTTCTTTTTTAAGAGATTAGTTTGTTTTCACTGAGGTATGATTGACATAATACATTGGGTAAATGTGCCCAGCACCACTAGTTGGTTTGTAAACCTCATTTGTCTGCGCCCATGCACCGGGCCCAGTCCCCTCGCAGGCAGGCCTGTGAGGTGATCACAGGATAAACGTGGTTGCAGGTTGTAGTGAGAGCGTTGCCCTGCATGCTGGGGCAGCACAAGGGCCCCAGGGCAGGTCTGCATTCTGGAAGGGTCTCCCAGGCGCCAGAGTGAGGAGTGAGGGCGAGAGGGTGTGCCCAGGCGCAGGGAGGCCACTGTGCGGGCAGGAGGCGGTGGGCGCCTGGCCTGGGTGGTGGCGATGGGCCTGAGTGAGTGCGAGGGTCCCTTCCGTGTAGCGGCATGGCCGGGAGACGGGGGCTGGGGTGGGGGGGAGGGGGGAGGACTGTCAGGTCTGTCCCGGCAGAGTGTGGGGCGGGGCGCAGTATGAGGAGCCCCTTCTCTCGGGTGGGAGCTGCAGGGTTCAAGCTCAGAGCCCGAGGGGCTGCAGACGGGAGCCCAGGCGGCACCTTTGAGGCGCCTATGGCAAAAAAAGCAAAGAAGGTCTGCCCCTCACACCCCAACTCTGGAGTCCCTTCACAGCCCCTCCCTCTGCCTCCCTCTGTTCCTCTGTCAGTTCCCCAGCTGCCTGCGGCAGGACCCCCGGGGCACTGCTCCCCAGCTCTCCTCCCCATGAGTGACAGCCCTGAGCTCCTCTGTGTTCATTGTCCCCTTAGTGGGACACAGGTTCCTCGGAAAGGAGCTCATGGAGTCCCTGCTGTAACCCCACCTCCTCGGAGGGACAGGGTGAGAAGGAGTCGCTCTCCACGGCTTATTTGTCACCTGGCCACCCTGCCCCCTTCAGTCCTGGCCTCCGCCCCAGCCTCCCGCCCCACCTCACCTGCATAGCCGGCACAGCGGGGCCCCCGGCAGGCCCTGCTCTCCCTCACGCCTCTGAGCACGAAGGTGAAGATCAGGTGAGAGTGTGGGAGGGACTGAGGCCCATCGTGGGCGCACAGAGAGCAGGGAGCCAGCACCGCAGCGTAGCCGCGACCGAGTGCCTCCTGGCACAGAGACTCCCTCCTCGGGCGTCAGGCTCCTTGAAAACCTGCCCCAGCTTTAAACAAAGTCATTTGACAGTTTCCTTGGCTCCGCTTTTGCTTCCCTCCGCCTACCTGCCCCCTTTCGGCCTCGAGGTGCTGGCTGGGGGGCTCGCTCACCCTCTGGTTACCTGGGCCCACGGCTCTTCCTGATGCAACTGCCATCGGGCAGCACTGTGGTGCAGGCGTGTGTGGCCGTGTGGTCTAGAAGCGGGCAGGGCGGTGGGAGCCGCAGACGGAGGGTCCCGCGCTGTCCACTCCCTGCCAGACGTCTTGGCGGGGCCGCCTTTGCTCGCCCGGGTTTTCCTTGCTTCCCCTGCATTCTCCCCACTGCCCACCTCGTCCTCCTCCGCCTCCATTTCCTTATTATAGCTCCTCAAACAATTCTTCTTTTATTTAGTATGAACAGAAGGTGTGTTTTGAGTTCTTTCCTTCTTGGTGGATAGCAGTGGGATTGAGTGACGTTTTCTGTTTACCCAGGTGCCCACTAAGGGCTGTGCTTGTTCGTTTGGGGGCTGCCGGGGTGAGTGTCCTGGGCACCCTCTCCCTGGAGTGGGGTCTTGTTGGCGGGCGTCCAGCAGCCAC